CAATCCTGCCACGGTGCGACCCCTTTTCACTAGGTTGGCCATGCCATGCCGCTCGATTCCCATGGGAACTCAAAAGCAGAGGAAGAAAGAACGAGGACTCCAAGGGTCAAACCTAATCTAAGGAGCGAGCATAAATCCAGCGATTCCAAACCTGAACTTGCTTTCTGTGCTCCCTGTCGTGTCTTCTGATGCACATCCAAGTGAGCTGTGTGTTCCCTTTCAAAAACCACCCACCAGCGGAGGCACCCAACATTCTCCCTGGAAACCGACCGGCGAGAAAGCTTGCTGTAATGCAAACGTGGGGGGGAGATCCACACACCGAGCAGAAATGGACAACCGAAAAGCAAACATCTCCACAAGAGATTACATGGGACCTAAAGATATATCGTAAAACGAAACAAACATGCAAATACAAGCAGAAAATACCTCATGCCCCACATTTGGGTCCCAAATGCTGGAACCCAGTTATACTCACTTCCTGAGAGGATTGGCCGAAAAAAAGTCTGAACTGTCTATTGCAACTTGAAATGGTCTTCCCAAAAGGCTTGAAGTCCAGGAAGTCAGAGAGTGAGTATGAGAATCCGTTTGGGGCCCCAAGCACAAGGTCTAAAAGGCCTTAAGCAAACCTCCCGAGCCCACCCGCCCTTCCTCAGAACGCCGCCACCCCCTTGGCGTTTTATCGCTGGCAGTTTGCTGGCGGTGTTTTGAGAACCAGAGATGTGAGGTGTGTGAAAAAGCTCACCCCCGCCAAAAAAAAAGAACATGCTTTCATGCTGGTATTCTTGGGGAATTGGACTATGCATAAATTAATAAAGTATTCCTTGTGGCGTGCTGGCGTTGACTGAATGGTAAGTTTGCTTCTAGTGTCCTTTCGATTCCGCCCAAAAGGGGATCCCTCGCTTGTCATCCAAATGCAGTCGACCACCTGTTGACAAAGCCATGTAGGGAGTCTCTGAAAATGGCTTGCCTCGCTGCGTAGCAGCGTGTTGTACTTGAGAAATGAAGCCCCCAACTGACACTTTTGCAACCGGGTGGCAAATCAATGTATACAAAGAGTCCGGGCCAAAAAGGATGCAGAAAGTGCAAGAGCGGCAAACTCCGTGGCACTTGCGATCATCCAGGAAACGGGCATCGTGTCTCCTCATGTCGGTCTAGTGATGCAAGTCGTCTTCACTATGCACGGCTGTGTGAAGTGATCTCGTTCAAAGGGATCCAGTTTACTTCAAGACTTTGTTTGCGGCATGGTCGCCTTTTGCGGGGCAAGCAAGAAGGGCCACATTGCCTGTTTGTGGCAACCTGACAAATGACATCCCCTGTTGGTTCTACTCAAAAAAAACTGACATGGTTTCTACAACGTGAAGCAAGATTGAAGCAAACAGGATGAGTTCCCACCATGGGCTTGCCCGCCAAGAAGGCATTAGAGGAAATCTGATGTTTTTCTCAGCGTCCAAAGGATTCGGCACCAACTTGTTTCCAAGAACCCAAAAACAACATTAATTTGTTTAAACGGAATCGAAAGGACACCACCTCATGTTGGGAACTCCCCTTGAGTTCAACCTATCTGAGTTCCACCAGCCCGATCCGACAGTATCCCTCCGGTTCGAGTGCCGGGCTGCGCAAGGAACAGCACCGCCTCTTCCAAATTCCGCTCTCGGGCAATTCGGGATGCCTAGCTCCGAAGTCTCCCGATCCGATCGGAAGGGCATTCGGTGTGGGTCAGACATGGGTACCCAAAAATGATTGACGTTGGTAAATGGAGGAAATCTGCGGTGCCTTGGTTTAAGCTTGACCGCTTGCCCTACCCATGTGCAAAAACTTGGTACTTTTGAAGCTATGTTCGCCCCCAACTTCAAAGATCGAAACCATTCTCGCCCAACTTGTGACCTCATCTTCAAGTGGATGCAACATTTAGGTATGAGTTCTGGGTGAGGGGGCTTGTCACTTCCCCACAGGACCTGGGAATTCAAGAACATCAAAGACGAACCTTCCAGGAACTTGACCAAATGCACGAATGACAGGCGGGATGGTAAAAGAACGGCTTTAGACAAATTGAGAGTTAGACAAGTGGCCTCCCGAGTGTCCCCAAGTAGACTCACAGGCTCTTGGTCAGGCTTCACCTTTTTCACCCCGTTGACATACCGGCTCTTGGACTCGAAGCTCCGGACAAGTCGGGGCCAAATCACCAAAAAGCTCGACAAATCCCTCGGCTCAGCTTCTGCCAGTCTCGTCCTTCGTTTGCCCGCCTCGCTGTCCAAGAACTCGCCCACCTCACGCAAGCGACTGAGCCCGGGATCAGCGGAGGTGGAAATGCTGTGGTTCAAACCAAATGAATGCCGTCCTTTGATTCCTGTGAATCCCGTGAAGTCAGATCTAATTCTCAATTGCCCAATGGGATCGCATACACCGGATCCCACTACAACCACATTTTGTTTGCACCGTGTGTCTCCAGGGTCCCATCTGAAAAGAAAAAAACTCGGGAAGGGCGGGGGGGGGACTGACACCCACCGAAGCCAAGGCAACCCGGCGGTGGCGACAGTCAGCTTCTGCGCCGGCGGGTGCGCCGGCTGAAGCACCTGAGATGAAGCGGGTCCGGAGGATACATGTGGTTCTGACTTTCATTGAAACTACCCCCTTATTTTGAATCAACCCCACCTTTGGGCGTATCTGGGCAAAGACCCGGCTTTCAGCCCATCCGCTTTCATGAGTGTCGAAAAGGGCAAACTCAAAACGGAAAGGGACCCCTGATGCAATGCTGCTTCACGAGAACCATGTGGTTTGCCCTTGAAACAACACCCACTGAGTGGGCAAAAAAAAACTTGCCAGCAATGAGTCCTTTGGGATCAGAATCAGGACCCATTGGAGGTTTCTTGAAAGAATGCAAAATCGGAATGCCGCAGTATCCCAACAGCACCCGCCCCCCCCCAAAACAAAAAAAAGCTCAAGTGATATCCCCAACAGCATGCGGTGCTCTTTTTAGTACTCGCACCACCCCGCAGCCCTCGCAGAACCTTGTGGACCCCTCGTGGAACCCTGGTGGAACCCTCGTGGAACCCTCGTGGAACCTTACCTCAGGGCCGCCCCGGACCACCCCGGAGCCTATCTGGGCTGAGACCCCAAAGCTTTCAGCTGTTGGGGAACAAAGAAAAAACGCCCAGAGCCGCTCCGGACTGCGGAGCTTGGGGCCTCTCGACAGTGGTTTTCCTTTGGTTGCCCAACCCAAACTCACAAAAGAATACCGAGCCTCAAAAAAACGTGCACAAACCGCGCGCACAAACCGCGTGCACGAACCGTGTGCGCCGCCTTCATGAGCATAAGGTGCTCCTTCTCCGCCGAAACCACCGGAGCACCGGCCCCCTCCGCCATCTGCGCATCAAAAAAAGGACCCCGAACGAGGCCGCCGAGCGAGGCGCTCCCAGGCATTCCAAGCCGGTCCCCCAAAAGGAGGTTCCTCTCGGTTCCACTGCCCCGTGAATGCAAGGCCTGATAGCCTCAGAGTCTTCCGAAACCCCCATGACAGCTTCCTTCAGTGCTTGAATTTCTCTACATCCCCAACGGGGGCCATGCTCTACGGCCTGGTGACCTGATTGTCATCAAACCCCTTTCCGTTGTGGGCGCCTTTTGTCCAGCCAAAGGGGTGGCATCTTCAACTTGAGCTGACAAGTTGTGGAGTGGGGGGTTGGAGTGTGGGCAGAGCAAAGGACATCTCCTGAGGCCCTCAAGCCTCTCTTGGTCTCTTTCCCGCTTGCGTCTCGGTCGGCCTCGGCGCTTGCCACTCAACCGGTTGCAGTTGCTATGGGCCACTCCTGTCTGCAACACCTCGGGTTAAACCTATTCGTCAAGCCCCGGGTTTGGGCAGCCGTAGGCAGCTGCTGCCGAAATCTGGCCAACCCTGCCAATATACCACAACCTGCACAACCTGCTTACCTGGGCAAAACATCACTTGGTTGGCTTCGGATCCCCCCCTAATGCGCCGCGGCGCTGGTGTTCCTGGCCTCGCTTCATGCACCGCCTGAGATCCGACAAAGTCGAAAGTCGCAGGGCTGTCTGATTCAATACGTGCGTCTCATTGAAGATGGGCAATATGCTCTCTTAAAGGGCTGGATTTGAACAGGTGCCCTGTTTCTCTCTGAAGCACACCACCCACATGAGACTTCAAGATCGGCCCAAAAGACAAAGTCATTCAAAAGGTCACGATCTGAAAAGAGGGACGTCAGTGCCCAAAGGCATTCACCCGATCTTGTGGGCTTGTACGTCAAAATCAGGGACCTCGGTTGGGGGCAGTTTCGCCCAGTGCTCTCGAAGAACCATCAACAAAAGCAAAGCACCCAGAGGGGTCGGTCCAGGTTGTACACACCTTGCCATGGCTGCTGCTTGTCCGCCGCTGGTTCCTTTTTGTTGACCCCGGATTCTTCTCAAAAGGTGGATGGCAGAGCTGATGAAGTGAATCATATCTGTGGCCCCACCTGGGTTCCCAACCCAAGAGCCCAAAGTGCGCACACTCATGGACCAACGCTCTCAAGGTTCCATGTGTTCCATCTTATTTGTTCAACAAGCCGTCGCCAAAAGAGAACTCCCGTGAAATGGGCCCAGAAAGCCCAGTCTCGTCACCAAAAGGGAACCAGCCTTTTTTTGGGCCCAGGAAGCTCATGAAAAGGACCAAGTGAGGACCATGGCTTTGGCACTCCGAATCAAAAGCTCTCAGCGCAACGCAGGACGCGGAGGCCATGTCAACCGTGGCTCATGCTGAGCCAAATCGGCGCGGCGATTCTCGAGCGATGGCTTCAAAAGGATGCCTCGTTCCCAAAATCCCCGAAAAAATCACACACCCGCAGACTCGGTGTTTAGAGTGGAATTCTGCAGGAACTTCATCCAAGTGAGCCAAATAGTCATGAACCTCAGAACATCTTACGGCGCTTGGAATCGACATCAGAATTCGGTGGGGATGCATGTCCACCAACCGCTGACGTGGTTCCGACCCTCACAACTCACAGGCACATCGCCTCCACTTAAAGCAGTTGCCACAAAGCACCAGCCCGCAGCTTCGGCAGTGATAGCGACCTGAGCACAGGCATGAGGGGTTCTCAAGATTCTTTTTTTAAGGGTATGTTCCATGTTTCCCTCTTAAACCAACAGCACGAGAACGATTAAAACATCATGAACTTGTGGGGGGGAGGGGGGGGGGGGGCTGCATATGCGCGCTCCTGTTCAAACACAAGGGCGTGTCTCGAAGTAGGAAAACAAAAAACAGGTGGGGGTCCTTTTGCATTTCCCTGCAAACGAACTCCAAAACGGATACCGACTCTCAAACACCCATCAGATTGCTTGAGGGCAACATGCAGTCCGGAACTAGCCACAACGACTGTCCTCGTGGGTCATTCGTCTTTTTGAAGGTTATCCTTTTCACCTTATGTTCAAGAGAAGCCAACAGGAAAATCACCAAACAATGGCGGGGGGAGGTCCAAATCCCAATTTGTTAGCACATTTGTGTCTTTTTTTGACGGTACAGTTTGGTGGCTTATTTTGTAGGTCCCCTAAAAACACGGCTGGGCAGAGCCCAGTGGATGTCCAAGGCGTGCGCGGACTGTCACGGAAAAGAGCACCTGCCAAGGCCCCCAAGGCGAACATGTTGTTTGCGCTTCTGCCTTTGCCCCACTCATCCCTATTACTGTACATAAAACCTCCGTGCATCTGCCGGAACTCTTCGGGCGCTGGCCCTTTTCAGGTCCGCGTAGGCGTGGGCCCCTTCTTTGCGGGCCCCTCACGACCGTGTGCGGAAGCCACATGTGCCACAGGCGACAAAGGCTGCTGACCATGCGCCCCATCGATGTCCCCCTTGATTGACGGTACACCAAATCATCTGTTCAATATGGGGCGGTCGTTCTTGTGAGTACCCCCCCCCCTTTTCCGGTAGGCCAAAAGGAAACCCTCGCATTTGGAGATCTCCGGATTTTGAGACAAGATGTACCGAGTGATCGGGATATTTGCAGCCCAGCCTTGCAGCTGTGGCATCTCGGCGCCAAGTGGTCCGGCACAAAGAAAGGGGGGTGCGTCGCCTCGTCTAGCGAGCCCGGCTGGCAAGCTGACGTCGGGACGGAGAACCCATGGACAAAATGTGAAACAACTTTGCCTTTGGGAGATCTAGATGTCATCCTTTAGCCCTTTAAACATCTCCCCGTTGAGCACCATTTACTTTGACGCCCTGTCAACACCCTTGTCCACCCTGTAGCAGTTGTTCAACACCCCCCCATCACCATCCTGTGTAGCACCCGCGCAGCCCTGCTACTGTACACCGTTCATTGTTCACCAAGAATCCCAGCGGCACCGGGGGCCCCACCGGAACAGGCCGGCTGCTGAAGAAGCCATACTCCCGCTGGAGGGTCTCGCGATCCTGTGCATATTTTGCTGCATTTCCTCTTTTGAAAAACCTGTCTTCATGTAATTCACGCTTCGTGCCTTGTTGATGCCTTGCTCTTTGAACTTTTTGGATATGTGATACATCCAATTCACTCTCAAACCCTAATGGTTGGTAACCACCTGTGGCGTTTCCAACTACAATTAAGTCGAAGTTTCAGGTGGGTTCTGTCTTGCTAGATCGCAGCATTGTGCTTCTCCCCGTTCTTTGAATGTTACCTGCACCAAATGTCCAACGCCGGAATCCAATTCCAGGGGCCCTTCTGGGATGCAAAACCTGGAGCCTCTGGGACCAGTGGTGTCACCGGGCCCTTTGTTACACACACAAAGACACGCACCCACATCCCGCTTGATGGTGGTTGCATGCATGTGTGCAAATGGACCAAATCAAATGGCCAGGCTATTGTTGGTTTCCCTCAAAACCCAACGGCTGATTTCGACACAAGCCACTTCCACAAATATATGCGCTTAGAACCCAACCATGCTTTGGTGTCGTGGGTCGTTCGCGCGTGCCCCGGAGAGCCCAAAATGTTCCGGGTTTAAACAGGAAAACGGTGTCTAGCTTCCAAAAGCAGTTGTCCGTTTAACAATGAAGGCTATTTTGTGGGGCTGCCATGCCAATCTGCTGGACAGACTCCAAAATACTGCCATCGTGTTAAGCCAAAAAACCTGCAAATGAACATGGAACCCCGAACAAGCAATCATGTCAAAAGAGGGGACCACAAATTGTGGTGTTCCTCTCGATTTCCGTTCTAAACCCACCCATTTCTTGACAGAAACGGGCGAGATTTCGATCCCATCGGCCTCGGCGGTGAGCTGGACGGTGGACTCCTAGAAGCGAAAGGGGAGCTGCAACTCCCGTGAAACAATGGAATTCAAACAAAATCTATATATATATATATATATATATATTTGTATATGTCAAAACGCACGTGTGTGTGTGTGTATAGATACATATGTGATACATATTATGTGTATAAATATATATATATATATACTACATATATATATATATATGGTCAAATGATTGGCGCGGCTAACGTGGCTATTGCGATTAGAGCCTTCAATGCCAGCGTTACTTTATAGCGAGCGGCTAAATCATCACATGCATGATTCTCTTATGACCATTTGCGATCTAAGTTGGCTTTCATCTTCTCCCCACAACTCCATTCTACATAGTGAGGCCCTCATAGTGCCATCCCCCCCACCTCCTCCCCCCTCCCGGATCCTGGAAGCGAAAGCCGTTGCTCACCACCAGGCAGGACATCCAGCGCTTTGCCGCTAGGTCCTGGATCCCAGGCCAAAACAAAACGAATGCCTGTGGGGTCGGTCCAGCTATTTTTTGGTCTAAGGACCTTTGGGGTGGGAGGACCAACGTTCTTATCTCATTAAATGCATTAAATGCATCGATGCCTGCCTGGCTGCCAAGTTGAACTGCGTGATTGATCTGATCTGCTGGCTTGATCTGCTTGATTGATCTTGTTGATCTGCTTGCATGACTAATCTAGGTGTTGTTGATGGCATGTGATGCTATCGTGCAGTCTATCTCTGTGTTTGCTGTAATTGGGCACCTCACCTTGTCTACCTATTATATTAATATCTGAGACACTATCAACCTGGTCCCCAAGGCGCCTGCCTTTATGTATAGGCACCAAATTCTAGTTGGAACTGTCCCCCCACTAACCTTGATCTGCTGAAAAAGGGCCCAGGTCCGACTGAAATGCCCCCGCCAAGGGCTTCTTGCCCTCTAACAAGGCGAGCAAACAATGTCACTGGTGCACGCGGGATCATGGCGAAGCCCGCAGTAAAACCACGCGAAGTCTCCGCCGTCCCAGTCTCCCTCCTTCTTGGATGTGTCCACAGCCTTCAACACGTCGAACTGATGCTGGTTCCTGTAAGGCACGGAACTACTGGCCTCGGCATTTGCCTGAAAGCTGCAGGGGCCCACAAGTTACTGCCAATTGAGCAACAGGGTTCCGGTAGAGGAATGCATCCAAATCCACCTGCGGTAGTACATCTGCTGACAGTCCAAACACTTCTTTCCAAGGGCCACAGCTGTCTCCAAAAACGACCGCCCGCAGACTGTGCATCACACTGAGGTGCAGGGTAGCCGTCCATTTAAGGAAAAAATATGACAAAAGAACTCCCAGTGTCTGACTTTGATACCTTGAGGAGGAGTCTTTGCGACGGTCACAACCATCCTGCCAAGAATCACCACTTGCGGCACCTCCTTGCCCTTCGGAGACGCCTTGCTTCAGTTTCGGCTCGACCCTCCGGGCAGCCGGCCGGAAGGACAGGTTGGCCTTGCCGTTCACCAGCAAGGACGTGGCGCGGGCATCCAGCCTGCCGGCATTCGGCGGTTGCACGGAAGCTCAGTGCTTCACCCTGGCACAACGCTGGAACCTCAAAACAAAGACGGGAAATAGCAACAATGATCAAACATGCGCTCCTATGGGCTTCGTGTGATCTTGGAGACTTCCGACCCCAGCTTCGCTTGTTCTAGAAATACGGTCGGTGTGCTTGCATCCAAAGCTTGGACTGTGTAGCAACATGCAAAGCACCGAAGTGGAGCCAAAAGAACCCAAAAGGAACCATTGAACCAGAAGGACACAGAACGGAAGTTCCACCTGCCGGATCATTCAGTGCAAAGCCCGCAGACCAACCAAATCCCATGAAAAAAACTCCCAAAGAGGGTTTTTTGGGGCCTCAACATCTCTGGGGAGCAGTTCGGGTCGTGGCCGACTTTGGGGGCGCCTTTGCTCAGGCCGAGAGTCTGGGAGTCGGGGCCCCCGGCCTTGAGCAGGCTTCCAGGATCGGAGGCCACTCGAACTTGTCCATCTGTGCGAAGCGCGCTTCGAGATACGCGCGGAGATTCCCTCGCTCGGGGAGCCGCCGGTTGCTGGATGAACAGAAGATGACAGTGGGGGAAGCGGCGCGGATTGGTAGGCAACTGCCCCATGGGCAAAATGAAATACGCCAAGCGCCAGTGAGACCTGAATTGTCAGGAGATATCAGCAATTTGCGACTGCTGAGGACACCAAAATGAGTCTGGGCGCGAGGGAAAAACGCGCACCTGGTTGACATCCGTCTCCGAGTGCTGCAGAAGCTGCAAGATGATGCTGTAGTGGGACTGCCAAGCACAGATTCAGATGTCCAAAAATTGCGCACATCTTCTGCAGCATCTACATTTTGCTCAAAATAGCTGATTTCCCCTCAAATGACAGGGCAAGAACATTCGCTTCCCTTCCAAACGCTCTCAAAAGTCATGCCCATCAAACGTTCATGGGGCTCCCAAAGTGAAATCGAGTGTTTTTTGTTGCCATGCCCCAGGTTACCGTGAACTGGAGGCGGGGCACCTTGGAGACTGCAAAATGGAGCGGCGTCCATCCGGTTGTCTCCTCGCGCAAAAAAAAGCATTGGCCTGGTTGTTGAAACATCCCATGCAAAAGGTAAGGGTCGCAAATGGGCTTGTGTACAGTCTGGCATTCGGCATTGATGAGGTTCAAGCGTTGAGTTAGACTTTGCACGTGTCGGTTTGTTCGTTTCCTTTTGCCTGGGCTTGAGCTGCTCTGTTGGAGCTTCTGCGCCACAGAACCTGCAGTCAGATTTTGATTTTACTCGGGAAAGCAAGCTATTGGCCTCTGGCTGCCTTTGCTCTGACCGCTGGAGGCTGACTTGGCTGATGATGTCAGATTCAGTACCAAACTCATAACATTGACAAATTATGAGATAATGTTCTGAGAAAGACTCAGAGGTGCCAACTGATATTGATTGCGCGCTGCTATGGTTGGGTTTGGGTAGGTTTCTGATGGTCTAGGGATGTTTTAGTGCTGGTTTGGCTGGCTTCGGTGGATTTAGGGTGAATTTCCGGTAAGTTGCTTCGGGTTTGTTTGTGGTTGCTTCTGGATGGTGTTTAGGGTTGGTTTGGGCGGGTGTACGGTGGGTTGGGGTGGGCTTAGGATTGGATTTGGCTGCGGCTTACGCTGGCTGTGGGATTTGGGATTGGCAGTCCCCGCAAGAGGGCCGCGCTTGGCTTCAGAGATTCTCCTGACTCCTGCCGCCCGACCTGCATTTGGATAGTGAAAATAAACCATTCCGCGACTTCACATGACCAAGTTGAAACCAAACATTCAGGGCCGAGTTCTAGTTCTTCACAATTCTTGCGTCCTCCTGGGCGTTGGGCTGGGCCTTGTTATCCAACAGCACCTGCACAAGGCCTCAAATCGAAGCGGAGCAGAAGGGCGTTGTGGAGGCCTGCGTTTTCTACAATTGGTAGTTGAGGCGCAGCTGCAGCTTACTTCTTGCCCAATTGGAAAAAGGACTTGCCAGATGTCGTCCATACGCGAAATTGCAAGGCGCAAAGCTGCAGCTTACTGTGCCCAAATGCAGCATGCAAAAGCCATGCAAAAACCACCGAAACAAGGGGGGGGGCGGGCTTTGTGCCCCTTTTATTTGCTTCGTGAGTGGTAATCCCCAGGCGCTAAAGAGGGCCATTACACATCCGCCACCCCTCCACCCCACATTGGCCACGAGTCTCTCTGTGACAGGCAAGCATGCGCTGCACGTGTTGTCGGCATCCGCGCTGTGTTAATGATGTGTTAGTGTTGCAATGACTTGCAAGAGAAACTGCCAAAAACACAGGGGCTCCCATAGGCGCGGGTACCAAACACTTGACCTCCATTCTAAATGGCCAACATGTATCCTGTGAAAAACCAACTTTCAAGGGAGTCAGCCCCAGGTTGCCATTTTCGAGGAAAGGCTTAGGCTTAGGCTACCCCCCACTCTCCCACGGCTCATGGCCCCTGAGGCCCCCGAGGCCCCCGAGGCCCGTGCCGAGCTCGCCACATTGGGCGGCCAGGTGCAAGGAGGTCTGCCCGCGCAGGTCTTTGGCCTGAGCCGTGCTTCCAAACTTCGGACCCGGGATCCCAAAGCTAAAAAAATGTAGGTATGTCCCCAGCGCCAAAGTCTTAGAAAATTGATTGCCACCATAGGCATCTCCACAAAGCCGAAATCATCCTGAAACATCCGACAAGTCGGCTACCTTGTCCTCAAAGCCGAGTCCGGGTCATTTACTGCCAGAGGTTATATATATATAGATAGTTCCAAGCATTCGCCCTCCCAAAGATCCGGCCTCCAGGTCAAAGGCAGTCTTCGGGCATGCCTCACGGCCCAGAAGTTCAAGCCCTGGAAATCGAGGCCATTTGAAAACTGAGCTCAAAGAAAGAAACGACATGGCCTCATGCTTTTGCATTGGCAACCAAAGGGGATGCCTTTCCCCCTCCAAGGGACATGTGGGGAAAGGACTGCTGGATAATTTTTTGTGGGTCTCAATAGGGGGAGGTCGGTTGCTCGGAAATCAAGAGCAAAACTGCTCTGAGTCCATGTTGGCAAACCGTCCTCAAATTCAGGAAGTTTGAGGGCACAAACAGGATCGTCCAAATTGGTCAGATCTCAAAAGTGGTGAAAGGATATGAACCGCGGACGGATTCTGACTATGCCTGGCCTCAAACGGACATCTGAAAAGCCTCAAACGGACATGTGTTCGTCCTGTCCAAACATGGCTCGTCGGTTGCCCGGAGTGAACGTGGCACCTATTCGCCTGAGACACTTGACGATTCGCTTGCCGTGTGACCCGTTGGTTCTATGCGTTTTCACTCGGGGAAACCCTGCTTGAGCTGCTAAACTAGTCATGCATGCACCAAGAACATGCAAGTCTGTGGATCACCTCCATCCCTTTGAATCGTTTGAATCATCGAACGTGCCTGGCCTTGTGGTTGCGCAAGAAAGCAATCCAAGCGGCTGAGGAATTGCTAGTGTGCTAGGATCATGGCGAAATTTCGTTTTGAAGCACCCAGCCCCATTCCATTGGCCCTGGAGCAAAAGAACTATGCAGACTGAGGTCTCCACCATGAGGAGGAACGACAGCAGGTCCGCACCGGAGCGCGCCCCTGGCAAGCCGCAAGCCCTGTAGGACAAATATTGATTCCCTCAAACAGTTAGTGTCCCTCAACTTTCCCCTGAAAGACCAAAAGGGATCCCCCATTTTGAGAAACCCGCAAACGGGCGCGGGGAATTTAATGAGGGGCCCTTTTCTGGTGCTCCCTTTGAAAGGCATCACCTGCCACCGGCAGCTGGGTCCAACAAGTGGCAGTATGTTTGACAAACCCCATCAGGAAGCCTTGAAACCTCTCTTGGCAGAGGCAAGATCCTTGAACGGTAGCAAGCAAACAGGTGAACATCTTAAAAGCTTTCTGGGAACCTTTCGCCGTGCCGAATCTCCGATTGCGAAGCCGGAGAGTGCTCACAAGGCTTTGCGCCTTTGCAAATGATGTGAAGGAGCGAGTCCTGCAATCGGGTGTCAGGTGTCCCAAGGAAACCAAACCACAAAATCATTGAGGCTCCTTCCCTCTGCTTGCGACACAGCGCACCTGCTCTCTTGTCATCAGCCAAAGGCAAAGGTCCTGATCGCTGTTCCGCATCCGCCCAAAGATCGTCAGCCTTAGGGGCGGACAACAACAATAAACACCGAGCGTACCATACGGCGAAACAAAACCGAGCGGATTCCGAGCGTCCTGTTGGAAACGAGGTCATTGCAGTGGCAACGGATACACGGTTGTCGATTTCGAGGAAATCCGGGCAAACACTGTACCCGCAAGTTCCTTTGAATCCCTCTAACTGCAATGAGATCAAGCCTTCTACTTTTTCCAAAGTTGAGTGAGATCATTCCACCAAGATATAGCATGAACAAACTCCACCGACATGTCCTGGAGCCGCCTCAAGCTCTCTCTCTCTCTCTATCTCTCTCTCTCTCTCTCTCTCTCAACTCTCTCTCTCTCTCTCTCTCTCTTTCTCTCGCTCTCTCTCTCTCTCTCGGACGACGCGGAGCGAAAGCGAACGACCGGAGAGCCTGTCTTGCGGCACGTTGCTGATGAGCAGTCTCAGGAAGTCCTCAACGGCAAAAGCGCTGAATGGGCCGAAATCTCATGAGAAACACCCAAAAGCCACAAAAGCCACATGTGCCGACGTGCGGAGGCCCCAGAAATGTTGGTCTTTGGTTCCGATTGAAACAACCTAAAGAATCACATTTCAGCGGAAAGCTGGCTCCATCTATGCTTGGAGTGTGCCTCCAACCACTCACTTTGGTTTCAAGATCTTTCTGGGCCAACCTGTCCCACGCACCGTCTCTCCGTCAAACCCCGGCCTCGTTACACACGAGCTCTGGGTCGAGCAGCACGTTGTGATAGGTCTCATCCTCCAGCACCTGGGGAATCAGCTCCTGCCAAAAACGGCTCACCCAGAAGCATGGCGCACATCTCAGGCTCCAAGACGGCACAATGGGAACTTCCTCAATTTTGGGCGGGAACCACTTTGCAGTTGGTTGCCGAAGGGTACTATCTCCGATAGGAGACACCTTCCCAAACCAGCAAAGAGGCAGAGACTTGGCCGCCAAAGGAAAATAAAAGAAACCAAAGGAAGCCAACCCGAGTTTTTCTATTCAAAGGGTTTGATCATCTTTTCGGAGCAATCCTTCACAAACGCAAGCTGTCCTTCACCCACCGCTTCGACATGAAGTACGGGATTCGCTGCTTCGGCCTAGGGACGCAGGCGGGCGTTTGATTTGTCTGGAAGGAGGGTGCCGAGTCGCAGCCGTGTACCCAATGATTGTGTCGGCCCTTGGACTCGAACCAGGGGCTTGGTTGCTCCATCGATCAGCCCTGAACTCCGCGGAGAAAAGCGGCGCTCGCTTTTTTACAGAACCAGCGCCGCTGCCGGAAAGCCACTGCACATCTGCCTTAGCCAGGGCCCATCGGAGATTGTTCAGCCTTTGGTGATGTTTTTTTTTTTTTAAAGGAAAACTCTCTAACAGCAAAAAAGCAAGCTATCTAGAAAAATTGTATGTCAAAAGAAACCTCCAAGGAGTTGCTTTTCTGAGCAAAGCAAACAGCAAGTCTTAAAAAATGATGTCCCTGATTCCGGGCTGCAGGTCTTGGTTCCTTCCGCACCAGCTCCTCAAGCGTTCCCGCAGCGCTCTCAACGCCGCGGCGTCCATGGGCGTCGCCGGCACCCTTGCGTCCCCCACCCTCGGTGCAGATGAAACGCCAAAGCTGCCGTGGGCGTTGAGCGCGTTGAAGACGTTCTTGGTGCCGTCCATGCCTGCAGGTGTTCTTTTGCCACTCGCTCGGAATACAAATCGGCCAAGCCGAAACACAACAAACATGAACTGGCGAGTGCATGGAAAGCTCCACATTGCTTGCTTATGATTCGTGGCAAAATGGCTGTCCGCGTCCTTCTCATTTGCTCATCAAGCCGGCCAAGGTGCTTTTTCAGAAATATCTTACATCTTTGGGCCCCCCTCATGTTTCCGATAAGGTACGGTGGAGCGACGATCGATTCCGCATGTCTCCGTTTGGAATTCACCTTGCCAACACAAGAGGAATTGAGCCCCCCTTAAACAATACCCCGCTTTTCTTTCGGGGGGGGCTCACTTCAAGCCGGCTCCAACTCTGACTCTTAAAACCACCCAAAAACGGCGACCGCCAAAACCCGCCACAAGAAAAACACATATATCGATTTGGTGATGTGTAAAACCAAAAAGAGACCTTTGTTGGGGCTCCGAAAGCCCTGCTTCCCACTCAAAAAGCTCCAACCGTGGCGCCGCCCCCGCGCCTGTCGGCGCGGCTTTCTGCAGGTCCAGCAATTCGACGGCCGCCATCATGAGGCGCTGCGCCTTTGCCAGGTCAAGCCCGAAAGTCCGGCGGATCCTCGGCAAGAGGAGGATGGCATGGATCTATACCTGCGCATATATATATATATATATATATATTTCATATGTTTAAATATGGTTTCATGAAAAATAATAACAATAACAAAAAACATTATGGGTGAATAACATTATGGGTGAATAATAACATTATAATAATAATATGTGTATATATATATACAATTCATCTATGTGTCTATTCATTTATGTGATTATTTCTTTACATCTACCTATATAGATCTAAGTACATATATACATATCCGTGTGTGTGTGTGTCACTTCTTTGAGGCCTTTTGAGGGGGAAACCAAAACGACGACCACCCATTTTGGAGAGCCCCGTTTCCACACACATACACACACACACACACGTTTCCACACACACACACCCACCAAGATGAAGGACTGTCCATGTTGGGCGAAGTCATCATACCAAAGGTTGACATTCTCCTAACGAGGACATGTTCAGGTGTGGGCTCCAAAGGTGAAGGTCATGTACCCCTAGAGATATACTCCAACAAAAAGCTATATATGGAAATCCCGATACTATAATATATATATATATATATATATATTTCTTTATGGGGGGGTAACTTTGTTTAGGGATCCGCAAGCAAACAAACGAATAATGGTGACTTGCCCCCTTTGGCTTCCCTTTAGAACCACCCAAAAAAGTCCCTTCAAAAAAAATAGTCCAACAAAGGATAAATCCTCCATATATATATATACATATATGTATACATACATTATTGCTACAACCTCCATGCCTGAACAGAATGGGCCAAGGGCATGAAGCGCAGGGCCCCCTAGTATTCCCCAATTTTGCCATAGAGGAAACTCGTAGATGCCAAAATGGGCATGCTTAAAACAAGCACAAACGAAATATCGACAACCCAGTCGAGGATTCAAAAGTGCCCAATGGCCTCTTGATCCTTGATCACGAATCTCTAAGCCTCTGCTCCTTTGGGGGAGATGGCTCAGACAGGATCAGAAACCAAAAAGGTCTCGATCGGTCGATTCGGTCACGGATCTCGTTGTAAAGGTCCCCCGCAAAGTTGTACTGGCTCCCCACGAAGCCTTTGATCCCCACCGCCAGCGCCTCCAGCATCAGCTCATCGCGCCCGGACAGCACTTCAAACTTTCCGCCCTGGTAGGCCGCGATCTTCATGGCGTCCGTGAAGCCAGGGTTCGAGTAGAGACCCGTGTACTTCACCCCCGCGAAGTTAGTCACGTTTGCCATGAGCTTCACAAAGGGTAGCAAGCCCTCCGGAAAGGACACCCCTGTCCTAGGCTTCGGTCGGACAAACAAATCGGTCTGGTCAATGGCGCAGCTTGTGAGTCGGGCATCCAAAAACTGCTGTGGGCCTTTCAAAACTGCCCAAGCCTGAAGGAAATGCAAGCAACACCACAAGGTTGCTAAAGTTGGCAAACGTACGGACGTGTTCACAAACTTGGCAAAAGTGGCCCAAGCTGAATCCGTCAATGTCCGGGATGTGTGAAGGCAGCCCGAAAAAAAGGCGACCTTTGGGCATGCGTGGAAACCACAAACATGCCCTGAAAATACCTCAACAAGTAGACAAAGTGCCTTTGGCCATGCGTCATGGAGGGGATGTGATAATAGAAGAACGGCAGGGATGGGCACTTTTCCGCCACCCGCGCCATGGTATTCGCCAAAGCCAAGGCGTCCGCCGGCTTGAAGAAGACCGGAGGCATGGCGGCCACAGCCTCCGGAGGCTCTTTGGCATGGCTCCGTGTATGAATCACCGATCAAAAAGCGAACAAACCCATCGAAAGCCGATACCCTGGTAGTATGATCCGTTCCTATGTGCAATCATCGCAGTGATCAAAACTCATGTCGATCATTGCGATCCCCTGCTTGGAAGCCGGTATCCTGGATGTCTAAAACCCTCTGTTTTGCTCCATGACCATCGCTTTGGCATGTATGTCCAACCAATACGCATCGCACCCAAACGAGCCCCTTCTTAATAGAACATGACTCCAAACCCAAAATCCCCCCGGGAATGGTTGAGATTCGACGTCAATCTTCAATAGAGAAATGTCCCAAGCGCAAACTGCGTGATCAACTGCTGACAGCAAATTGGTGGGGGCAGATCAATTTCCCTTTCGGGAACTGCGTTGTCCGTTAAGTCTGCTAAGCATCCTACCGAGGCCCGGTTCAGTCACATACTGAGACTGGAAAAACCTAAATGGTGAGATTTGGGCACCCCTCAACATGCAACCAACCAGCCAACCAAGCAAGCCCAAGCAAGACCCACCAAACCCACCACTTGGGACCAGCGCGTTCGGCCGAAGCTTCAGCCGGCCTGCGCCTTTAGCTGCTCTGCCTGGTGCGCCAAGGCCCGGGCATCCTCCGGAGATCCCTCAGGCTTTTAAAGTGGCGGGGTGTGAAGATCTGAACGGAAGGCGCAGCTCCCACGGAAGATCTGCTTCACATCTGGAAGGAGGCTTGATCTGGGCGAAATGACTACTCGTGACATGGAAATAAAGAATACTCAAGTCAGGGACCTGCATCATGCAGCTGGTGGACACCAGTTCGGTGATTTCTGTCCGCCCACTTTCCAGGGAATTCCCTGTCCACCAACCACTTTTGAGGGGGTTCGCCAAAGTTAGATCCAGATTGATCCTGTTCTGTTCCCCTTTCTTGCCAAATACCGGAGCCAATTTAAAGCTTTAGGTCCAAAAGCACGACACCGTATGCAAAGTTACCTCCCCCGAGCCAAACTCCCATGGCCCGACCCCGTCCTCCAACGCCTCCGCGCCAACGTGGACGATGACTTTCAGCCCAAAACGCGGCGCCACCTGGAGCCAGGCCTCCGTCTGCCCCAGCCGTTCCGCCAAGGTCAGCTTCAGGGACTCCCCTAGGGGATGAGATTTTCGTGTGGATTTCCTGTTGCCATGTGTTTGTTGTTTCATAATATGCTCTTGTTGTTTTTGCAACCAAGATGTTGGTTTTAAATAAAGCCCAATGCAATTTGGGGGAACCGAAGATGGTTACACCAATGTTGGGGGTCCAGAGCTCTGAGCTGGCTCGAAAAGTCGTTGGAATACTTTTTGGGAATTCACTGAACTGTTCTATCCCTTCGGGAGCGGTCCCCTCAAAGGAGCATGGGAAAGGGTTCCATCCCCTTTCCGCTGGAATCCATGGCAAGACTCCATGGAATCCCCGAAATGACCAAGGGAGGTGTTCTTCGCCAGCAAAAGTCCGATTGCCCCCACAAAAATAAAAAATAAAGCAACAAATGGCGGGTGGTCCCTTTTGGCTTTCTTTCAGAACCCCAAAAGACGGAGTACAAAGAGGAGCCTGCTAAAACTGAAAACGAGGTGCCTTTGGGCCACCTTGAGTCCTCCATGGGAACAGAATGGCCCCCCTTCTTTTGGTGAAGTTGCTGTAGGGGAACCGGGATCCTCGGCCTCCACCCTGCAGTCTGGGCCCCTTCTCCCCCTCGCCTGTCGTGCCGCTCACGAAGACCCACCTCACCCCGGTGGCGTTGAGCCAGGCCGCCTGCGAGCTCACCACGGAGGCGTCCACGCGCCCGTCCGCGCTGAACGGCGTAAACACCGCCGCCACCAGGCCATCGATCCGCGGCGCCGCTGGCGCCGCAAGGGCGGCCTGTTCGGCGGACGCCGGCGACGCCAGCGACACCAGCGACGCCAGCGACGCCAGCGCCCAAAGAAGCCTCATGGGCCAAGGTTGGACAAAATACGCAGCCCCCGAATGGCAAGCTTGAGCCTCCGAAAAAAAGCGAGGAAACCGATCGTGGTGAGGAAAAGTGCTGTGCCTGATGGTCTCTCAAACAGTGGTGCTTCAAGCACCTAGGGCCTGAGGGAACGGTTGAGCGAACGGCCGCTGCATATTACAAAATACGAAAGCAACTGGCCGGCAACAAAATTGAGCATTAACAAATCGGAGTGTTGTTTCTGGGAAACCCGCATTCTACAGTCCGCTTTGATCTCTCTGATGCATCAATGAGTCAAAGTGGGCACTTAATTATGGAACGTCGAAGTTCCTCGAAGTATGCTGTCATGGTTCCCTTACCCGTATATATTGTTGCAACTAAATGCCCTACCCAAGGAACCGCATACTCGGGTTCATGTGTGTAAAAACTAACCAGGAACCCCACGTTGGTTCACTAGGGAAGCAATAATCAACATGAGCTCCCGTTGCCATCTGGAGGGATCCAACACGAGTCGGTTTGGACTCACGCACCTTCGCTTCCCCTGGATTCAACCTGGCGGATTCATATGGAAGCTATCCACGTAACAATGTCGAGCTCCTCTTAAACCTGCAGCCATGTGTGTACCTCGCAAATGAATCCAATCCTACAAGCGCTCCTGTAAACAAAAAACCGCTGCCAGCGCAAACAAATAAAATCCCCCATGCCAAAACTCACAGCCACATCTCTAGGGGTTGGCCACTTTCGGACCTGTACGAATCCCATCCCCATTACTACAAAGGTCCCAAGGAAAGGTGCTCAAGATTGGGCCATAAAAAGCCGCTCAACAAAATGTATTTTTTTAGGGAACCCGCAAGAATGGTGGCTTTCCTTTTGGTTTCCCAAAAAAGGGTGCCCCGATAACACAAGACGGACCCAACATAAGCTGTTTGCCTCTGCGCTCGAGCCACAGAGCCACGAGATCTTAACTCAGCCACCTGAAAGGGCCCAAAACGACCGACCGAACGAACCAATCCACCAACCAACCAACCGAGCAAGCAACCAAACACACAAACAAACAAAACAAACGACAAAAGATCTCCCAAGTGAAGAACAAAATAACTGGCGCCACAACACAAATCGGCTAGCTGGCACCCGCCAGACCCGTAGCCCTCGGAGCCCGGCCCCGTCTGCAGCTTCCGCAGGGTCTCTATGAAGACTTTGACGCCTGCGAACACCGCGCACAAAAGGGACCGTATTTGGCACCCGGCAAAGCGAGTGTCTGCTAAGTGAGTGGGAAACCAACTATTTCAACCAAATGCGAGAAAGACGTTTAAAGGTCAAACGAACAGCACCCTAAAGCAAGGAGCATGCCCTTCGATTTGGTTTGTGTTGTGTTTTGTGGGTCAAGACCAAGGAAGGCCGTGAACATATAAAATATGCACATGATGGTGCTCGAATTCGGCCATGGCGCGCATGTAAGCCAGAGTGACCATGTCTGGTTCAGGGGACTGTCACAGCAGGTTGTTGGGGAAGTTGAAGGGATTCATTTGCTACATGGTGCTTGCGTGAACACAAGGAATGCTCTTTCTACGTGCAAAAGGGGATAAGAACGGTAGGCTTGTCCCAAGGATTTGGCATGACCATTGCCATTCCGACAGCGCTTTGAATCACTGTTTCATGGCACAAGTTCCCAAACAGCACAATGACAGCTTGATGTACCTGTAGCTCTGCACCAAAACATATCGTGTTGTTCAGGCTTGCTCTCTTCTAATATCTAGCTCTATGTTGGTGTTGCTATAGAGGGCGAGGACGTTCGTCTGAGCCTGCCATGGCCATACCGTAAAGGGAAACCAACATGTTGTGCATGTTGAAAACACTTTAAGGGGCTTTTCCTGAAGAGTGACTTAGATGCTGGCGGTGGCAATGCCTGATGCCTGACCCTTTTGACGCACCTGTTTTTTTTTTTGCTTCCGGTTCATAGATGTCTTGGAGCTTCCGGTTCGGAAAAACGACACCGTAGCCTTCGCCCTCCGCGGGCTTCCCGAAGTTCGTGGCTTGCAGGGCTTGGAGCTCTTCCTGACGAATCCGGCGGAAACGTCGGACTCCGACGGCCCCGAACCGGGGAGAGGATGCCCGGCGCCCCGGGGCCCTGTGAGAGAATTGCCCAATGGCGTGAAGAAACCACATTTGGAAGACGGGCGTTCGAGACAACTCAAGGTGCGTGTTAGATTCCGATGACCAAACCACCAAACCAATCAAACTTAAATCGCTTCTTTCCAGCCTCGGGCAATGTGCTTCCCAAAATCATGCAAACCATCAACGGGAGAATCTGCAAGCGAACCTGCGAAGTGCTGCAATCCCCCCCCATGCTTCTCCTGCTCACTGGACAGCAAAGCAGGTTCTATCGAGCTCCGACCAGTCATTCCTTTTGCACCAAGCGGTGAATTGCCAATTGAGCAGCGAAACCAATTGACTCTTGCTTCCACTTCGACGGTTCTAAAATGATCTAGGCCATACTATGACCCTCACAAAGCCATGAGTGACAAGATGAACGATGGGGGACTTGGGCGCTGCAATCGTAGCTCGGCCCCGCCAGCCGCACGTGGCCCCCCGCCTTGGAGAAGTACGAGTCTTGGCACTTCTCCGTGATCCGCTGCATCTTGGGCCTGGAAAAGGCCGCTTGCGCGATACGAGCCTCGATTTGGGGCGGGGTCCCTTAGGCTTTCTCGGCGGGTTTAGGTGGAAACCAAAAGGAAAGCCAACTTTTTTGGGGGATCGCCCCAAAAATAGGCACATCCATTTGAGAGCAAAAACAGTAGTGCCCAAAGGCCAGAGGTCTGTTTCCACCAAAGATGCTCTGCGAATGCAAAGACCAGCTGCGCGTGTTGGCCCGGCCCAGAGAACCAAGGATCAGTACTCTCCCGAGTATCTTCGCATGGACCCGTTCCCATTCCAAAAGCCTTCTGGCCGCTGTCAGGGGTCTGGCCAATTTCGGGACACACAAGAGCCTCAGTATTCCAACCCATGCTCAAAGCACGCTCTCACTTGCGAAGCAAAACGGCGCACTTCTGTTGGTTGCCACTTCTTTTGGTTGCCTGTTCGGGGGACTCCTGCTGCTGGTTCTCTTGCTCTTAACGGGAAACCCGGAAGCCCGTCAAAAGACGGCCTTGGCGGACTCCCCACCTGGAGGCGGTTCGCAACTGCGGCGCCGCGCGGGACCCAGGATCCGGCAGGCCTCCGGTTCAAGGGAAAACCGAATCCGGGGGTGGGTCCACAGATGAGTGGCTCGTCGCTTTTTGTGGGTACCCCCTCGGTAAAGTCAAAGACACCACCGAATCCGAAAAGAACACCCCCAAATGAAGCCGGATCGTGGGCGCGTGCTTGTTTGGGCTCCACTTTGTGGGGCTTGTTTCGAGGGAAGCTCTAAGCAAACTCAACTTTTGACACGCACCAAGTGGAAGCTGGCGGATGAGGAAAAACGGCGCTTTGGCGGAACAGGGGTGCAGCTCGCCAGTTGATCCGGACCATCCCCTCCCCTTATTATCCTGGACTCGTATCAAATTAATGGGCGACTTGCCTTCACGAACGCCCCAAAAAGCACACATCACAAGGGGAAAGCAGCTCGGAGTAGGACTGCAGTACCACATCCTGTCCTCAACAAAGCACTACACCTGAGGTCAAAACGACCGGCTCACCCTAGGCGCGCGGCCTTTCGGCGCGGCCGGGCCCCCGCCTCAAAACGGAAATGGCACTGGGACCAAGGGGCTGACATTGTCAGCCCTGGTGAAGAGTTCCCTTGGGCATATCCATTATGGTCCATGAACCATGGATTCGGGGTACAAACCGCGTGTTTTGCGCTGAAAACGAGCTAAGCGGGGTAGTCATGGCATCCCTGCGTCAGCGATCTGAACAAAATATAGATGCATGCAGCCTTGAACTGTGCTCAAACAAAGCCTTGCAGCGGTCATTGTCGCGGGTTGAGACAGGCTTGGGCCAACCCCTGTTTAGACACATTTTGAACGGCAGTCTTCCAAATCCCCCTGTCTTCGAAGGTGATAGAGAGACATACATACAGAGAGAGAGAGAGAAAACAAAATAAAGGAAAAAAGAGAGAGAGAGAGAGAGAGAGAGAGAGAGAGAGAGAGAGAGAGAGAGAGAGAGAGAGAGAGAGGGAGAGAGGGAGGGAGAGAGAGAGAGAGAGAGAGAGGAGAGAGAGAGAGAGAGAGGGGAGATAGAGAGAGAGAGAGAGGGAGCGAGGGAGCAAGGGAGCGAGGGAGCGAGGGAGCGAGGGAGCAAGCCCAGGCTGTGAGAGGGCCCATTCGTCCTGTGGCTCAAGCCAGGCCAAGGCCCAGGTTCAGCTTCAGGCCCGGCCTCTTCTTGACGGGCCCTCGATGTTCTTGGCGATTTCCTGACCGAAGGCGGGCGGCCGTGTTTGCAGACGCCCTAAACAGCCCTAAATTGGTTCTACGAAACAGATTCCCAAAACAAAACAGGATGAATATGTGTTTAGCATCCTAGAACCCAATTGCAGGCGCCAGCCGCCGACCCCCATCTGTTTCGTGGGTACTTCCGTCACTTTCAAAAAGAGCCGCGCCTCTATGGGATCATCGTCGTCATCATCCACTTTGAAGGTTTCCAGCAGCTCGTGCGTATCCCTCACCCGCGTTGAGCTCCCAAATTCGGTGTGTCTCAAACTGGGAAAACAGCTGACATCTCATGGGAGCAGAGGCCCAAAGCTTGGGGAGGCCCAAAATGTTCACTCTCGCGCACACTGGGCCGCCAGACCTTGACTTGCCACGTGGCGAAGAGGCAACTGGGCAGAAATCATGGCTTCAATACTTTTCCCGATTACCTCAAGGGGCAGAGCTGTGGGGATTCATCCACCTCCATGTATGTTGTCTTCCTCACAAAGGAAAGGCATGAATGGAGTTTCAGTTTCAGGGGTCAGCTCCGGGTCAGGTTTTTGTTAAGGGTGGGGATGCAGTTGCAAGTCACGGTGCAAAAAAAAACTCCAAAATACGAGTTCCAAATAATTCACCAGTGTGCCGCTCTGCAGCTGCAACCTCAGGTGTATTTCTAAGATAATGTCCATGCAGGTACATATGTGCATGTGTATGTGTATATATATATATATATCAAAGTAGAGGTCCGCTATAAAGTTGGCTTCCTTTGGTTTCCTCTTGGTTTCGCCTCAAGCACCGTGCAAATCGGGAGCCCACATTGTGGACAACCCCAAGCCTCGCTGACACTTTACCCCCTGGCAGCTTGCCCTCCCAACATCTTCATGGGTGTCGATTCGGTGGGATGCCTTGGAAGGGGCCCATTCCTGAGTCTGCTCCCATTGGCAAAAGCTATCCTGTTTACACGCATTCCCTTTGCACTGCATATGCCCCATGTGGGCCCGTCTCAAAATGGGGAGCCCCTTGTTGGACGATGTTCGAAAGGAAGCCAAAAGGAAGTCAATCAGTTGTGGGGGCCCCTCTATTTTGCAACACACCCATTTGTTTTTGTGGCTATAAATCAAAATAGGAAACCACCCCAACAGTGGGTGGTGGATATGAATCCCAACCTAATAATGTCCACCAAGGGGTCCGTAGTTCACAATGCATATCCATATCAACTGTGTGTTGTGCAAGCTGCAAACTTCACTCAAAAAACAACTCTCGCCCAGGGCACCATCTGGCGCTGGCTCCGTCGCAGCACTTACGTCGCCCATTGGCTTCGCCGTCTCCTGAGAGGGGACAAACCTTCTTCGGGTCAGCCAAAGGCAAAGAGCAAACTAACCTTTGATTTCCAGGCTCTTTGGTTATGTTTTGTCCAAGTGCCCAAAGGGGGAAAAGGAAAACCACCCCGAGTTTTTGACAAAAATGGAGCACCCGAGTTCCCCTGCCACAGTGGGCTCTGGATGGGTGCCACAGCAGTGTTCCAAACCTGATGCTTCTAACCAACCTGAGCGTTTTGCAGCCTTGGCCAGAGATCTCTCCCGCTCTTTTCCGGCAGCAGAGCGCAACACACGACGCTGTACCGAGTTGATGACGTGCGCGCTCGCAGCAACGATGAAGTTCCAACAACGGCGCCACGGGAAGGGAAGCTGCATCCAAGCACGTACGGGAAAAACCATCGATCCTCTTGATTTTGCTGCACGTTGGTGGGTTCTGTGGACCCTGGCATGTCCCTGTTTGCCAAGGACTTCCTTCTGGGGTCTGCATGCACTGCAGGCGTAGGTAAAGAATCAAGCGGTACATAATGCAGTGCCCGCTTGTCGTGTCTATCAAGGGGCATCTCCGCCTGGGCGAGAAGGAAAGCTCGCCTGCGAGCGATTCAGATGAGTCTTCCCGGTCGCGTCCAGCAGAAGTCAGTCTTCCGGTCTGTTTCACTTCAAAACAAGTGCGCTGCCTGGGGGCTGAGGGAACACGTTCACTGCCGGTCCCCACCGTCTGCACCGGCTCCGTCCTTCATGTCGGAGAAGCCTTGGTGGATGCGGTACCACAGCCATTCGTCCTGGAAAGAAGGAGCTGGCTGACGAATCTGGGGATAACGTGCGGTCGTCTGCTGGCGGGACTCACAGGGAGAAAAAAAGAAAAAAGAAACGGATCATGACACAATCGCGCCAAATGTTGTGCAGTAGGCAACAACTTGCAGTTCATGCTATGACGCTGCAGTACTGACTCAATTGCCACGTCTCAATCTTTTTGTCCTACAGCTGTTTGGACCTTGAACCACTAAGATCTTGAAGCTCCCGTGCTTAGCGACCTGCCTGTGCTCTTGGCATAAAACACCGGCGAACCATGTCCAGTGCATCCCCCCGCTCCGCGAGAACCCCGTCCTCGGCTTTCCGGAGTAGCTTGGAGATCGCAAGGTTCCCCCGGGACACGTGCCTTAGCAAATGGGTCCGTCCCAAAATTGGGGACCCCCTGACAAAGCCATCGGAAACTCTTGCCATTTTGGGACAAGCCCCTATGAGATAAACCCAAATTGCGTCTCTACCAATATCGTTTGGTCAATTTGCGATTCCGAGCAACCTGGACAAAGGCGCAAAGCAAAAACTTGCACTGGGAGTTTTTGATGGGTGAGTCAGACCAGAATGAGCGGCTCTTTTCAGAAACAATCTGATGGGTTAAGAGGGAAGACCCGAATCCCAAACACCAAACACCCTCGCCCTTGTTCAGCACGTGGGTATGTGTCGAAATAGGGAGATCCCACAAATTGGTGTTGTCCCTTTAGTTTCTCTCACAACCTACCTGAACAGGATACCGCATCATTTGGCCTTAGCCTTACCGACTCAAAAGTCCGGAGAGAAAACCCCCCGTTGAGCCGCACCTGGCTGTTCTGCCGTCCACGTTCCTAAGGAAGACGTCAGATCCCGCCTGGCAAAGGCCGCAGTGTTTACTTTTCAGGTTGGGTCGACTCAGGGATACCGGTTCCTCGTTTGGGGAAGTGATCCATCCGCCCAGAGTAGACCCTGAATTAATTCGATGTTACATGTAGCGTGAAAGTAGGTGGCACAATTGTCCGTTGTTTCGGTAAGTAAACGCATGACATGTGTTTTTGGGGTGGACCCTTCAAAATGGCGGCTTGCCTTTTGGTTTCCCGTTAAAACCAAAACAACTGTTAAGGAGAAAAAGAAGAAAAAAAATGAAAAAACACGAGGGAAATGTGCCATCAAGCTCAAGATCGCATTGAGCTAACCCCGGGCTCAATGTAAAAGAACCAGAAACAGATGGAAACAGAACCGAACTAGGCAGGGCAGGTGTTCAGCACTGAAAGCGGCCAGTCGGCGCCAGACCAAAAATGCCAGGCGGGCAAAAGCGGGAGCATGCGCTGAACCAAACTTGGCGCAAAATTAGGAGCCCTCCCAGTCGGCCTTTCACAAACCGCCCAACAAGCTCATCTTTTGAAATCCCCATTTGGCCGGTTCGGTGGTTCGACCCCTGGCAAGGCTTCGCCGGCCGACGGGCCGGCAACCGGTCCTCGATCAGGACCTGCACCTGTGTGGCGGTTCAAAAACTGAGAGTTCTGTGAGTCCAGTTACCACTGCAGGTAATCATATGGGTGTCTCTCGGAATAGGGGGGCCACCTATTTTGCTGGTTTTCCTTTTGGTGTCCATTTAAAGCCACCCAAAAGGGGACCTTCAAGAGAAGACTGACACACCCGTATTGGATCCTTGAGGTTTCATATGACGGTTTCCCCTGGTTACTTCCCAACAAGGCAGCTGGAAGCACCAGTGAGAATATCAACATGAAAGCAACTGTTTTGGAGAAGTAGCTGCTTTGGGTACATGCCAGAGTGATCCCACAATTTCCCCAAAAGCCAAACCTCACAGACTGGTTGACCAGTTTGCCACCTGCCATTGAGTCGGTGTGGTTGCCCTCCCCTAACCAACAAACACGTGTGTATCCCACCCCGGCTTGGCCCCGCTTTGGCCCCCGGCCACGTTCACATGGCAGGCATGCCCGGCCAAGTGCAAAGGAGTCCACAGGTGAGATCCGCCCCTGACGCGAGTGGCGTGCGACTGATTCAGGTTAGTAATGAGGGGGTTCTCAAAATAGAGGATCCTAAAAATGGGTGGTGTCCTTTTGGTTGCTCCTGAAACACAAACCAAAAAAGGATCCACAAATCTGAGGAACCCTCACAAAAGGGGACACATCGTTCTATTATCAAGGCTGAATTTGGTTCAAAGTACCCAACCCTATTTACTTTGGCCCTTATAGTACCCGTGGCTTCCAGTGGATCAAGGGAGACCGTGGGCCATGACGGCGGGGAAGCCCCTTGAGGGTTGGCCCTTGCTCGGTTTTCCTGGTTCAATTGGTGCCCTTATTAGGGGTTGTTTCAAAGGAGATTTGAGGAAAACCCACATGAATCCAGCAAGGTCCCCGTCATGGGCCTCAACCCAGCTGCTGGCCATCTGAGTCTGCATTTTTTTCCAAAACGGTTGAAACACCTTTCGGCCCCTGGTCAGTGACCTTCAATCAACGTGTCTTAACACCTGTCGCTTGTCATCCCATGGTCAGCAGCTCGGGTTTCACACACCTCCGTTTCCCCCCCGACCCCTCGTTCGGTGCTTCGAACGCGAATCCGAAGCACGCCTGAGGTTCAAGTCGAAGGCCCGCGAGCAGGTCCGCACCCGGCTCCCCTTCGACTTGGCCGTCCTAAAGCGAAATCAGGCAAGGGAGCAGAAACCATCCATCACAGATTCGCCTTACTCAGAGATGCAGAGGAGAATTGCCCAACCTTCCGTCCGTCCTTGGCTTTTAAGTGTTGTTTCCCGACATTGCAGAACCCAGGGGAGAAGCCCTCCTGTTCCATATCTGGCAAGGAGTCAAGGCTCGTGGCGTGTCGACCTACGCCCTCAAGGAAACGTAGGTGTCCTGAAACCGGGAACCGCTTTGTGAATGGTGTCAAAAGGACAAAGAGCCGTTTTAGAAAGCCCTCACATGGTCTGGCTGAAGCCGGTTGTTCGCCCGACTTATGCAGGGATCCTGCTTGAAAATTGAGCGAAAGATTTGAGCCTGCAAAAGCTTTGTTGCAAAGAGGTTCTGCAATCTCTTGGCACATGGGAAAGACATCGACCATCAAAGGGAGCTCCCAACTCAATTTGACATACTCTACCCCATGGCAACGATTGCGTTTTGGTTTCTTCCTTGCAAATCAAAAGCGAGTTTCCTCAAAACCAGTCACGCTCAAACGATCTCTTAAAGGGCTCCGGGCCCCAAGTTCGGTCCCCGATTGCCAGTGGTTGGTTTCAAAATTCCGGAGAGAATCTGCAAGAAGGCAATAAACGAAAACCCTGAAACAGTTTGTGCCCCTTGGCTTCCATTTCAACCCCAAAACCCCCCCCCCACCCCACCCTCTAGCCCACCCCAAGTCAAGTCCCCGACACGTGCGAGCAGGCCCCCTTGTGACAGGCTGCGTCCGCAGAGTCCAGGTTACTGGGCCGGTCGCCCGGGTCGAGTTTCGACCTTGAAGGGTCCAGAAAGTCAAAACATAAAGCTGGTATCCACAAAGTCTGCGCAGGTATGCGCGTTCAAGAAATGTCTGGACTTGCATATATACATGTTGCCTAGATATACAGTGTGTGTGTGTGTATGTATATGTGTATATAATTATATATTATAATACATATATATATATGTATATATATATATATGTGTGTGTTGTGTATCTAAGTATATATATATATATATAGTATACTGTGTATCTATATTCTATATACACATAACAAAGGAGCCCCCTCCTTTTGGGCTTGGGTCATTTTACTCTGCTTGTTTGACATACCACCCGAGCCACGGAAACCTCAGAAATGGATGGGTTACGATGCGACCCAAGAAAGACATGCGGGACTCAACGGGCACCGGCCTCAGGACGAACGCGATGCCCCGAAGCTGACCTGCGCTGAAAGTCGAACGTCGGGGCCTCGACTGAGATGGTTTGCACTGCCCCCAAACCACCCTCCGGGGTTTACTGCAATACACACCACTATCAACTATCTATCTGATATATACCTATAAAGGGAATGTAGCCCGTATTCCCCTGTTTATCCGATGGTCCAGTGCGTTCGATGCAATTCTCCACGATCTGAAAACACCAAGTGGTTGTTTCTGCTGTGGGTGAGCAACAGCCAAGCTGACTCACCGAAACTCTGAAAAGGCCGGGAAAGTCTTTTTCTCCTTCTCATCATTCAGGAACCACAGGACTCGCCCGGAAATTTCGTGAGAAACAGACACCATTCCCTTGAGCCCCGTCGGGGGCCAGTACCGAAGTGCCGAAGCGTCGGCCTCTTCTCGCCGCCAAGTGCAATGGGGCCCACTTGTCGCTGTTCATCCTTGGGGGTTGGCCAGGCTCCGAACATCACCAGAGGAAAATTGAAAAACTATTAGTGTGTGTGTGGGTGTTTTTTCAAGGGAACCCCCAACATGGCATCCCTTTAAAACAGACCTAGAAGCGGTACCCTCAAAAAAAGGCGCAGCCAATTGGGCCCAAAACCACTGGGGTACGGGGAGCCATGGCCTTGAGCCAAACGGCCAAAAAGGGCGGCCCTGAAACGACCAGATCCGAGCGATTTCAAAACCTGGAATGGACTTGACGCAGGAACACGAGAAGGGCCGAATGCCCTGCAAGACTTAGAGGAGTATCTTAAACCCACTAAATGAGCTGGTACGGAAGGGGTCCACCCAAAATTGTGCACAGAATCAAGAGGGTGGCCACACCTATGGCTCGAGCTGTTCCTACCTTCAATTTCCCGAGATCAACCATGTGGAACCGAACGGGATCGAGTTCCGTTCCAAGACATCTGTACGCAGGTCTCAACCCTCCTTCCAATGGTATCGCTGTTGGAAAACTGCATGGATCCCTGACGTCCTTCCCAATAAAAAGACAACAAGTGCTCACGAGGGCTCAGACAAATCAAGCTGCCCTCGCAAACAGATTTAGACCAATGCCCGTGACTCCTCTAGAATTCCCAACACTCGGCTTGAACCGCCTTCGTCCAATGCCGCCTGTTGGTTGGCCGGATATGGCCACGTGCAGCTTTTAGTTGGAACCATCGATATTTTGACACGGCTTTGACATGCTTTAACCCAGGGCTTGCATCGACCAACCCTTCTGGTCTCAAGTTCCATGCATCGACCCGCACGGATCCCTCTGAGCCGCCGGGCATGTTGCAGTCCGCATTGTGCTGGAGCAGAATCTTTCCGATGGCCGCGGCCCGCTTTCCGCCCTGTCGAACCAGAGGCTCTGGTCACCAGAAATGCGGGTGGGGGAGAAGGCTCAGAGTCCAGTCGCTTGCCAGGAGGGGTCAAACCAAGGTTGGCTCCCAATTTTAGGACACCTTTTTGACACCACATAGACGCGGCTTTATAGCCCATGATCCGGGAGCTGTTGGCGTCTTGACCTGAAAGGGCCTGAAGGCCTCTGAATTGATCGACTGGTCTTCCCCTGTGCTGTTGCCATAAAGCCGCCCTCTTCTTCTCTTCAAGCATCAGCTCCTATGGTCCGATGGGCTTCCCTTCTAGCTGTTTGGCTTGCCGAAAGCGGTTCTATCAACCGCGTTCCTTGGTAGAAAAGCAAGCTCTGGTCTCCGACCCACGGGAACCAAGAAAGCACCAACCCTGGCCCTCAAAACAAGAGCACGTTCAGGTTCAAATCCAAGAAACTTACCGGAACTCTGCAGGAAACCCTTGTTCTTTCTGGGTGTTTGGTGTTCCCGTGTCCTGAGATGCCGATGCCATGATTGAACCGGGATGCCTTGGCACGGGAATCCCGGCCTTGTCAAAGACCGACATCAGCACGTGCAGCGGTGAGTTGCCTCACAAATTCTGAAAATTGAAGACACGCACTCCCCCCCCCCCCCCAAAAAAAAAAAAGAGCAACAAACATGTCCCAGCTGCCGGATGTTTCTGAGTATGGGTTGTTTTGTTTGCCCAAAACCGCTTAACTTCGCCAAAAGTCTGAAGCCCCTAAACTGATTGAAGCCGATTCACAAGGAGTTTACTAAGGTTCAGAAACAGCCTGCAAAATGCTTGAAGGCGCTCCTTCTGACAAAGTCACAAGCCCTTTCTCCCTGAGCACGACTAACTTGTAACCTTGCCCACTCGCTTGCTATGGAACGAGGAAGGGCTACATCTCGCACGTGGGATGGCCACGAACGGATCCTTGAAAGAAACAAACAATTACTTGTAAGGTCAATATCGCACCCTCAGGGCTTTAGATCTGTCGTCAAACATGTGCATAAAATCTCATATAAAATCTACTGCGACTGGTGGGTGGCTGGTCGAAAGCCAGGGACCGGAAAGAGTTGTGCACGCATTGCCAAAAGGCAGCACCAGCCGTCCGTCTTCAAAACAGATGGTCAAATCAGGCTCGTCCGTTAGCTGCAATTGGCTTGGAATGATTTTTGGTTCCCTCTCCCAGTCCGACACGCTAAGACTTGCCATGAGTGTGATCAATTTCACTTGGCTGGTTTCCTGGCACCAATTTCTTCTAAACTGCGTCGAGCTTCGATCTTTGAATCAACGGTACCTTACATGACATACGCTTGGGGCGTCTGTCCTTTTATGTCCGGTTCCCGAGAGGGTGCGTGAAGGAAAATGTTCCTGAAACGGGATGGATCTTTATTGCCGTTTCTACTTTAGTTGCCCCGCAACCAAAAGAAAACAAACACTATGTTTATGTACAACACAGAAAGTGTAAACTTATTGTCCAAACGCGTGGGCTATGTAAACCAAACCCGTGCCTCGAGCCAGGGGCCCCCAAGGGCCCCAGCCATCGGCATCGGTCTGGTTCACATCAGCCTTGCCGCGGATCAGCAACATCACCTGCACGCCGTGCGACTCGCTGCGGCTCAGGGGTCGTTTGGGGGAGATGGCGACTTTCCGAGTGGATTGGAACAAAGGGCCGACCATCTCAGACCCTCAGGCCTTCAGGCCGAAAAGCGGGGGTTGGGGCATGATGGATCCCAAAGGGGAAACACCCCCGCCCAGCTATCTGTCCGGTGACACGCGCCAATTCCTTGCCGCCTGCGTGTTCAGGGTATGGCTGTTTGGGTTTCTCTCAGAATTCCGGAGCCACAAAAATGATGTTTTCCTTTTGGTGCCTGCCACAAAACAGGAACCCCCGAACAAAATAAGGTGGTCGTACCCATGGCCCCCACCACCTGCCCACCCCCCACCCGGCCATCTGTGGGTCGAAGTTCACGGTGGCCACATGCAGCGGGGACCCGAACAGCCCGCCCCCACGGTTCACGTCGACCCCGACCTGAGTCAAATCCACAAATCCGACTCTTCGCGTTGGACACAAGTGCCAAGAGCTTTAGGAACTGGAACCTCTGAAACGTGGGTGAACCTTCATGCCCATAGGATGTCCACAGGAAACCCAGGGTGTGCCTTTTTTTCGAGGGCACTTTTTTGGGCTGTGTAGCGGGTGCGCTTGGCAATGACCATCAGCAGGGAGACCCCCATTTTGCGAGACAAACTAGTTTTGGGACATACCACACATGGGTGTCTTTTTAAGGGACCCCTCTAACATGGTGGTTGTCCTTTGGTTTCCCATTTTAACCCCCAAAAACGAGTCCCCTCAAAAAAGGACACACTCACATACTAACAATGCTCAAGCCAGGGCCGCCTGCCAGTGCCTTGAAACCGCGAGCACTGAGATGCGAGCCCTGACCAGGGCGTTGGCGATGTCAGGATGCTCCTTGACAACAGCCAAGCAGTTCATCCAACACACAGAAACATCACCTAAGATAGGTAATCCGTGTCTGCCGCTTTCTTGTCCCGTTCTATCCAGAAGGATTCCCGATAGGCAACACCCATGCAGCTTACACGTTTTTCCCGAATGCTATGCCCCAAGAGAAACCCAACTGGGACCCCTCGAGTGGATCCCACGTTTCACTTGTCTTAGGGTCACGTGGTTGCGGGTCCGGCGAAAGTTACCAGCAAAATGGGCTCGTGGAAATGTCGCTTCCCAGACACACACCTCAATCCTTACTGTCGACAAGGGTACCCCTGTTTTGTGCATGAAATACGTTTCTTCCAGGCGGTTCCAAATGACACGCCTAAATCCTAACATGTAAACCAAAACAACCCCATGTACGTCTATGCACAATCTGGAGCCCATGGTGAGCTACGCGAAGCGCGGTTCGTTTCAGGGTTTAAGAGTCATTGTTCTGCTCCTCCCGCACGGCCACCAGAAGCGGCGAGTAGCCCTCGCAGTCAAGGGAGTCACACTTGGACCTCGAAGTCGCGCGTGCCCGGACGATCTCAAAAAGGGACCCAATCCCTGTACAAAAGATAAGGCCATTGCGGATGGAAACAGTGGCCCATTCAGACCCTAAATGCTAAAACCCGCCCATGGCCGGAAACGACAAGGTGGGACGTGTTGTCTCGAACTTAGGTGCACCAGATTGCTTGTGGCACTCTTCTGGAGCAGCCAAAAGGCCCACGACCCGCAGTAAGACAGAACCTAGTTGAACGGTTGGTCAAAACCGTTGGAAGATACACAACAGGTAAGGGGTTGAGACAAAGACAAAAACAAAACGCACTGGTTTGGATTGGGACCATCAGTCAAAACTCCTCTGCCATGGTCATGGTGCCCTATTGGAACCCCACCATGGTTGTCTTAAATCCCTAGTGAGATGATGACCATGGTTGCGGATGGCCAAAATCCAGCACTTGGGAATACCCCATGAATGCCAGGACAAACTGCCTACCAACTATGTTGTCCATCCAGAGTATCAAGCCCAACTCAAGGGGTACAATCGGCTCACCTCGGCTCCCGGCCCCGTCTCTGCCAGAGCCAAGGCCACCCCCACGTGACCCTCAAGGCATGCCACGTGCAGCCTGGCGTGTCGCTATGGCAATCTCGAACCTCTGCCGAACTCTTCAGCTGCCAGGCAACCTCCCGAGCTCAATTGCTGCGCATTTGCTGGGCCCAAACAAAAACAGGTCTAAGTCAAACAAGCTGGAAAAAATACTAATAAAACAAAAAGAGAAGAGATTTCGCCTCGTTCGTCGCTTGGAGTCGATGGCGTTGGGGTCGAAGGCCTTCTGCGAGAACTCCCCGAGGACCTTGGGCCATCGAATTTCGGCCAATCCGGCTAGACTTATGAAAATTGAGTTACTTGCCTTTTAAGATCCTGTTAAATATATCAAATGGAGCCTTTGCAATCATTTACCCTTCAAACCATGGGTTGAAAGCAATATTGGTGGACATCCTGTTCGTATCCCTTTGAAGAAAGCAGGTTCAACTGTTGTGTGAACTGTTGTTTAACCTCCTTCAACAAATTCTTGCCCAGCTCTGCTCTGCATGCTTTGACCCCCAGCGCATGTGAAGAATTGCGCAAAGCAGGGACTCCCGTAAAAGAATGCCTTTCTGAGAAAGGTCCTAGATCTCAGACGCTGGGAGCTTTGCTTGTGTCACTGCCTGGTGCTTAAAATCTCAACTGCTCTCCTTTACGGAAACCACCAAAAAAGAACATTACAAAACACACGAAAAAAATGCGACTTGTTTACACCTGCATAGCGTGCCCAACGAAAAGCGGTTGATATCCACTACTCACGGAGATGTCCCTCGCTCGGGCTTGCATTCGATGCAACTCCTTTTGGCTCGTCCCCTGGTTTTTGTTGTGAGTTCCACCTCACAGTTGTACCTGTCTCTCCAATTCCGGATGAAACACCCGCAAAGCGCGCCATCGCAACCGGGGTGTTTTACACAACTCCCCCGCTCCCATCGGATTCTCCCAGTCAGCTCGGCATCACTGCCTCGATGCAGGTGAGACGGCCGTCCTGGAGAATGGCAGCACGCGGCATTTTGTGAACCCTCATCATGTTGGCTCCAGGGCATGTTCAATCTTGTTAAAACCTCTGATTTTTAAAACACCCCCAACTGGTCATCCGTCCCTTTACAGCTATTCATTGTACAGTAATGGGGTTGAGTCCTTTCTTCCAGACAATACGGGTTTACGTGGTGCGCCAACAAAGTGTTGCACCACCTCTGTCCTGCGTGTTGGCTCCATCGAGCTTCGGATTGGGCGACTCCGCAACTTCAGGAAGCAACTTCAGTAAATCAACCAGTATGTGTGCAGATCAAACAGTTGAGATTTGGATGTGAGGAAATGCCAGTCAAGCCATATGTGTCTCAACAGACGCGAGTAGGACGTTCAATGTCCGTTTGGTGTCTCTCTTCCAAAGATGGAGCTCGAATTTCGGGAAACAAATTATGTAGGGCTTATGCCCTCCCACGAACATTAAAGTCTCCGAAAAGAAGTCTGTGCACCGAACCATGCTTGTTGGAGTGATTGTTGGAGGGAGGGTAACTCGGGGGACAGCGGTGAATCTAATTTGCGTTGGATCAATCAGCAGCAACCTCTGGGCTTAGGCACTGCGGTGTTGTGTGCTTTGCGGGGGGCACCAGAACTCCATCACCACCCCAAAAATATGTTTCCCGATAACGTCCTTCTTGTCTCGGCACAGCTCCCGGAGCTTGGTGATGATGCGCTGCACACGGGGGAAGTGGGTGTGAGTGAAAGTGAGAAATGCTGACGGGTTGCTTCGTTTGATTTCCCTTAAGCCAACCCCAAAAAGGGGGTACCGTAGAAAACAAGACACGCCCAAGTGGGACAGCTCATGAGAAGGCTGATGTCCCCGCCCAGCTTTTAAGCTTACTTGCAAGGAATCCTGCAAGCCTTCGCGGGTGAGCTTGTTTTCGCTCTCTCTTCTTTGAGGGTGCCCCTAGAAGGTTTTTTGAGTGAAACCAAAGGGAAAACAAAACTCAGGGACACATCCCTGCCCCACGATCGCTTAGCCCGCAATGAGTGCTTCCAAATCGGGCCTGGCGTTTTGGTTAGGCCCTGTTGGACAGCAGGGTTGCAACCAAGCGTGATGGACTAAATCAAAGGATGAACACAGGTGATTTGTTGAAAAAGCGAGAACCACCTGTTTTATTGCTGGATCACCAGCATAGTCTCAAGGAGCAAAGAGGTCTTAAGGAGAAGTCTTCAGGAGGTCGCAAGGATAGTCTTGGGGTCTTAGGAAGAGGCGTGAGTGGAATCCGAGAAAGCCAGTTCGGCGCCTGCCATTCTGCCCCCTTGATCACTCGCGGCAGAGGCGGCGTAGTGTACCTTGCGCACGCAGCCCAAATCTTTCAGAACCGTCCTGGATGTTCCTAGCCTTGCTGATTTGTTTTTCCGCTCGAAGAACACATCTTGACAACCGTTGCCTAAACCAATGGCTTGGGTCTACCTGACCGTGGCACCTTGCATGTCATGAGGACGGACCGGGATGGTGTCGATTGGGAACCTCATCTTCCAGACCTTTTGTTGTTGTTCGGTTGGATTCCCACATCTTTGTTTGTCCAAACCAGGACTCTTGTCCGCCCAAAAGGGTCAATGCAGGCCGGCACTGGGATTTTCGGGAGCCAGTTTTCGGCATTGAGTCGGCTCGAACGAGAGTGACAAGGTCGCGACCGCTTTGGCCACTCCCGAGGGTCCCCCCTTGGGGCTATGAACCAAACTTGGTTGAAACAAGTTGGAACCTGGTGAAAATAATCGTTTGCATTGGTAATCATCCGTTTCTTGCTTCGAAAGGCTTGCAAAACACCAGCCACTCCGCCTGAACCATTCCAGGGCGAGCTCATGCAAGTTCTCCAGGAGCCTCGAATTCGAAAGATCGACAAAACTTTGTGTTCGCCGGAGCTCGCAAAACTGACCAAAGGTGCAAATGGGTGGCTTTTTTCAGGAGGGACCCACCAAAATGGTGGGTTTCCTTTGGGGCTCGGCTCCCTGAAAAACCACCATAAAAGGGAGACCCTCAAAAAGGACACACACACACACAGACTCAAATCACACAATGGCGGCATCCCTTTTGCGTTGGCGTGAAGGGAAACCAGAAGGAAACCACCCATTTTGCGGCCCCTGTACCGATTTTCCAAAGCGTCTTCACAAAACCCGAAGCTTGGGGCGTGGCGCCAGGCTGGAGGGCAAGCTGGTGAAGCTATTGTGGTGCAAGTAGAGCGTTTGTAGCTCTTTGCACCTGTTGCTTTGCACATCCGCTCGGCGGCTCGACGAGCGCTGGTTCGATAGGCAGGGAATGATCATGAACAATTCCGTGTGCCATTGAGATTTCGAATGGTTCATAGACCCGAAGAACATTCCCGATCGAACCAGCCACAGGGTCTTTTTTGAATCAACACCCCTGATTTCGGCAAACCTCGGTCCATGGAAAACCTCCAATGTGCGGGAATTGGTTTCCGGTTGTGTATCATTGTCTGTGGCTTGGCTGCTGTGTACCCGATCGCGATTGTCTTACTTACGCCATGGAACAAGGGACCCCGTTTTGCCGCAGTTGGATACATGATGCGAAGCTGTATTTTTGTCCATACCTCCGCTTGTTGGCTGTTGTTTTGTACTTGTTAAGTGTGTGAATCGCAGCTTGCGAGTGACTCTTAGAGAGTTTCTTGAGGCTAGACCTTGCAATTTCGAGTTATGCGGACTACCTAGCAGAATTCTTGGGACCCTTGCCTCGCAATCGTTTCCAAGGTCAGGCCCTCCTAGGATTGCTTTTTGCGGGACCACGTGTTGTGAGGCTGATCTCAAAAGTCTCCAGAGGTCAAGGTCTGCAGGGGTCCCAGCCCAAAAAATAAAATTGGCTCAAACTTGAATGTATATGTGTTGAGTAAGTATTGGTTTCGTAGAGTTTACTTTGCAAGTAAGATTTTAGCTGCAATTCAAGTAGGACAACATAATTTAATACGGGAACGGTTCACCTATTGTTCTATGGTGAATGAATTCACACAGGCAATCCTTTCCAAATACTATTCTAATTGAGAAAGCAAGTAAATTGAAACAGAATTCGATAAGGAAGAGTGATTTAGATTTCGCGGATGGATCTAATTTAGGTGTATTCCAAATCCAATTGGAAGTCCGATCTTAAATGTTGAATTTGGACAGAATTCGGACAAAACAGAGCTGCAAAATTCAACTAGAATGTATACTCTGGATTTTGATAAGGAAAGAATCCAAATAACAAGTATGCTGCAAATTAGAACTTAAGTCAGAATTAGCCAGTATTGAGCTAGAATTCACATAGCAGTTTGCCCAATTCAAATTGGAATAGTTCACATTTAGAGTTTGAATAGAATTCCTTGCCAAATGGAACCTTAAATTCACTTAGAATTGAGGCATAGTTCAATAGGAAAAGGCTTCACAAGACTATCGCACACGGCTAGCTGAGGCACCCTGTGAGCACAAACTGAAGCGTGTAAGTATGTTTCAAAACTGGTTCGCACAGGGAGTTGCACAGCAACAGCCCATGCCAGTGTGTGCAAGGCAAAACGCAGGTCCAACACTACCAGATCCAAGATTCCGAAACACTCAAACCGCCGAAAAAATCCTTGAAAGGAAAACCCACAGCCTCGAATCTTCTGTTTGCGGACCCCCCTCTTTGAGCTCCAAGAAACATCTACTTGAATGTTCGGCCAAGTTAGTAAGTAGTGAGCCACTTGGATTGCCAACAAGGTAACCCCTCTCAGGGGGACTTGTAAGTTGATCATAGCATAGGTTCTCAACAACTTCCTAACTTGACCCAACACTCAAGTAGCCGAAGCTGTGGAAGCTTGATGCGCAAGGAGTTGGCGACGTTTGGCGCTGATCTCAACAGAACTCAACAGAACTTTGCCAACTCAGGCTCAGACTGACCCAGCTCTGCTGGGATCTCCTCAACGAAGTTATCACCTCAGGTGAACCACTGTCACCGAAGTCTGTTGAGTGAAGAGGACATAAGCGGACATGCATCACCCGCCGGAAGCCCCTACATCCATCACCCGCCAGCAAGATTTTGATAGGACTCGTGCACATGGGCCTGTGTTCAGTTCTCTCAATTCAATAACTTGCGTGGACCCTCGAAACCACTTTGCGACAACCTGTCAAATTGGCAAATCTTGCAAACCATGCAAACCTTGCAAGCCGCAGCCAGCATGCAAACCATGTGCAAGCCACCCAAACCACTATATGTTTGTTAAAACAAACTGCTTCCTACCAACATGATCTTCCCATCTTCACAAAACGTATATGGTGTACGTTGGAAGCGCTGCATGGGTGAGTTGAGTTGTTCTGAAAACCTGGTATTGCACAAGCAAACATTCTCAAAGTTCGATCAATTCCGCAGCTGTTCAAGGCAAGGGGGCTATACTCGCATGCCGCATGCCCGTGCCACTGACTAAAGTGGTCGTCCCTGGTTAATAAGTCCCTTCAGGATTTGCCATTACAGCCCACTCCAGGGCGTCAAAGGGTCAGTGATATCTTTGCAGCACCCTGTGGGTCTCGTTTTTTGGAGGGCACCGCTCTTTCGTGGCTTTTAAAGGGAAACACAGAGGACAACCACCATTTTGGTGGGTCGCCTACAAAACCACACACACACACACACACACACACACACACGCTGCACCAACCATAGCCAGGTCTTGGCTTTACGGGGTCCCGAGGACCCCGCCCAGGCTCAGGCTCTTCAGGGACTTCATCGAGCCCACGGCCTCACCGAATCGGCTTTTGAACGCGCCTTTGGTTCTGCGTCAGACGCTATCTGGGTGTGTGCTAGAATTGGATGGTGGCACCCTTGTTCGATTGCCTTTTGAAGGGAAACTACAACCAAAAGGGAACCAAGCATGTTTAGGGGCCAAGATTTGGAACACCTGCAGGCAAAACGTAGCAGGGAGACAAGCGCTCCACCAGTCACTTGTCGGAGTTGAGGAGGACCCAAAACCAGTCTGGGTAGAAAATGGTGCGGTCTACTCTTGTTTGTCTTCTGCAGGGACCAAAGTGCCACTGTGTGTGTGTGTGTGTCAAACATGGAAAAACCCAAAATCATAGTTGGGCTTGTGAAAGTGAAAAAGGATATACAACTAAACTTTGCAGGGATCAAACAAACCCTTCCTAGAGATTCCCCCTTGCTTCCGGGGGAAAAAGAACGCCTTCTGCGATACCAAAGCGGTCCATCCCGTCTTCCTTGTAACAAGCCTTTTCGCCAGGTTCCATATAGCCTTTCGGAGGGTCGCTCAGGGCCGTTTTTGGCACTTTTGCCCATGGCCTTACCACAGCCTGTGACAAGTCACACGAAAAACTCGACCTGGACATACATTCTGGCCCACGCGACTCCCCCGCCTTTGGTAGGGCTTTGAGGAGATTTTGGCTCAGGGACAAGGCCCTGAGGTTCGGCAAGGAGCAGACCTGAAACCGGAAACCGAATGGCGAGCGTCCATAGGTAGAGGAGCGTCCCATGTCCAAATGGACCTTGGTTTGCCTGGTTTCCCTCAATCCCAAAAAGGGTACCACACACAAACAACGACAACTCACCTCTTTGGTGGACACTGAAATGATCTTGCAAAAAGGATGAATAGAAAGTGGAGTAGTGATCAACGTAAGTACAGCTATAGGGTTTTCCATTTTCCTCGGCCTGCCTGGGTCATCCTAGGTGTTGGATCTGGTGATTGCATTTTACCTCTAGGTGAGTGTGTAAGTCTTGAGGGCACCTTGTTGGGGCGCTTAAACGGGAAACCCAAAGTAAACCAACCATGGGAGTTCTCGATTCTGAGACACACCCAAATGCCAAATCGCGTTTGTGCATTCGCCGGACACCTGTTCCGGGCCTCGTCAGGTAGTTCCCGCAAGCGATTCTGATCCAACAGCAGGTCCTGCGACGTGCGCAAACCGCACCATCCGCACCATGTGCACAAGAGTGCACAAGAGTGCACAAGAGTGCACAGGAACCCTCCCATCGCCCACCTCCGACACTCTCAGCCAGCCACAGGAGCAACAAGAGGCAAAACCCCTTTTGCCTTGTCGCATCGGGGTCTGCCCCAACACATGCTGATATGTTCGCCGGTACACCCTGGCGAAGCTCCGTCCTCGAGCTGATGCATGAGGGAAATCTCCGGCAGCAGCTCCTGGGCGGCACGGCAGCACACCTCCACTCGCGGCTGGTTAACCTGCGGCTCTCTCAATCTCTTGGTTTCGACACCTCAAGTATGTGCTCGTGCAACGTGGCTTTTGTCACGGGTGATTTCTCCCATGTATTGCGTGTTGACGTTTGACAATGGCTGACACCCAGCTACTTCTTCAATGGGTGTTTGCCACCCATGCCTTTTGAGTGCGCAGTCCTCGAGCGCATTCTTCCGCAGGTCCAGCACCTCGAAACATGCAGTCTCCGGCGACGAGGGAAGGAGAGCCAAAAAAATGAGATGATCTTTGTCAAGAATTCAAACTGGGTTTGAAATGAGTTTTCAGACTCAAGATCCGTGCCATTTTATCTTCGACTCTGATGGTGCCATTGAAGAATGTGCAAAAGCAAAAACTCTAGAGACGGATCAAAGAAATGCAACCTGGCGGAGGGAAAACGTGAACGGCCAAGCCAAGTCTCCCTTGAACCCATATCCACGGCCAAAGGGCATCTCAGGAAAGGGAACCCTGCCCCAAAAACAGGAAATGCGCCATGAAGAAAAAATGTGCCGCCCGAGGTCCAAACGGGGCCCTTCGCTCCCTCAGCTTCAACCGGACCACTTCCCACGTGAGGCTCGCACCTTGACGTGCGTGAAAGCGCTGAGTACCTAAGCGCTCTCGTGCCTTCTGGGTCTGGGCAAATTTGGGGACCTCTTCAAGGGAAGGAACAAAAAATCAGCTCCAGGCGTTTGCTGTAATGAAAGCCAGCATGCCCTTTGGACGGTCCCTGCCATTTGGACGGTCCCTAGGAAGCACTTCATGACTAGTATCCACCAAACCCTCCCCCTGTCAAGAGAAACAGAAGCACCCCAACCTTTAAGTCCTTCCCGCACTGAGCCTTAGTTGTGGGGGGGGGTCTCGCTCTCTCTCTCTCTCTCTCTCTCTCTCTCTCTCTCTCTCTCTCTCTCTCTCTCTCTCTCGTTCTCGCTTCTTTTGGCGGGCTACGGCTGGGACGACAAAGCCCCCGCCTCTTTGGGGATAGCTGAGATCTTGTGGTCCTTGAGGTCCAGCACCTTCGCGCGTTTCTTCGCCAACTCTTCTTAGATCCGCCTGAACATTGCCCACATAGTGGAAAGGGTCATTTGGAAAAGGTCATCGTTTCAGGTTGGTCTGGAGAAGGTCAAGCTGCTGGCAAAATTGTATCCTAGGCTGTTAGGTAGGGACCACATGCGTGTTTCCAATTAAAACCCACCAACGGGGGGGCTCGCAACAAAAAGACACCCAGGCTTGCTTCTGCTTCTCAATGGTTTGTCCAGCGGCTACAATGTCCAGTCAACCCTAGGGGCAAAGGGTTCTAACAAATGGGATCTCAACAGATGCCACACACACACACACCGCACGCACGCACGCACGCACGCACGCACGCACACACGCACACACGCGTGCACGGACGGATGCTCGCACGCAGCACATGCGCGCGCGCGGGGTTTCCCATTCAAGAGGGCACCAATTTGATCAACCTGGGCTTGACAATACCCATCCTGGTGCGAGTCAATCTAGGATGACCCCAAAAAGTTGGTTTCCTTTGACAGCTGATGGTCAGCAACACATCAGGGCCCCTCAATTGATCAAATACACCTAACATCACCTAACCCAAGACAGTCACCAACTCGAAATCTTGCAAAATCACCCATCCGGGCGGCCGTTTCCTCAAAAAAGGAACGTACCCTCCTGTCATGGAAGCCACCACAGGGGCCCCTTTTAAAGGAGCATAGTCTTGCAGGACCGATTCCTCAGTCAGGTTCCATGGCGACGTGGACCAAATAAAACTTGCGCCTGGAGGTTGTGCTGCGACGCCGCCGTCTCCAAGGCACCCAGGTTCAAGGTCCCCAGCCTCATTGCGGCTGCAGCCTTCATCTTCTTTTTGGGGTACCCATTTTGGAGTGAATTTTAAGGGAAACCAAAGGAAGCCGGCATTTTGGGGGGGGAGGTCCTATTTTAAAACCTGACTGAAGGACCACAATACAAGGTCAACCTTTTGGAACCTTGACTAAAAGTACTGAAAATACGCCCCGGATGTTGCAGTGGAATCTTATATTTGGGGTGGAGTTGAGAAAAACTGACTTCCTTTCGGTTTGGTTTTTGGTCCAAGCTTGCACTTGTTCCTGCTTACTTGGCTGAAACAACCACTTTTGGGCCCCAGTGGTTGCACAGATGGACGTATATATTTGCCCCGTGATCTAAAGAGAAAAGCCAAGAGAAACCCAGCCTTTTTGAGGGGTCTACAAGTCAGTTACACCATAACCCAAAAACCATCGAGAAATCATGCAGGAGAATTCTGCTGTGATCCTTGTATTCACCTCGGCCGAGGGCCGCGAAGCGGTCAGACCCAAACCCCTTCCCTCCGACCCTCAGGCTTCGCTGGGCCCACGGCTCTCGTTCTAGCCCTTCAAGCCAAGTGGAAACGCGCGAACATGCACCCACCCTCTATCGAAGCCAGCTCGTGCATTTTGGGGCCGACTCACTCACACAAGCACAACACTTCAAGGCAAACCAAAACACAGCATCTCAAAGCCAGCCAAAAACATTCTGGCCGAAGCGGGCAACGCGAAGCGTTTACAGTTACCTGGACTTTTGGTCTGGGTCAAGTTGCCCACGTGGCACAGTGTCGAGTGGGATGTGTGTCACTTCTGCATCTGGTATTGTGCTCGTTTGCTCCCATTTTGCTGACGCTCGAAAGGAGACAAACATAAGGAGCTTTGGAGGGATACCCAGTTTCGACAAGTTCCCCGTCAAAAAACATGCAAGTTTTGAGACGGAACAACAAACCAGCCCCACTTGGCATGGTGTTCGTTCGTGACAGACGAAAAAGCTACCAGTTTGGAAGGTCCAGTTTAGCACACACACCCAGATTGATATCGTTACACACACATAAAGCTCCCCTCCCCGCAACGCTGCCCCTCACCCCTGCTTCCGGCCGCTAGGCTCCCCACCCAAAGGTTGTTCCCGATCAGGGTTGGGATGACCAAAACCACTGCGCTCGTTAAAAATATGGTTCCCAGATTGAAGAAACCCTTTTGGGAACAAGCCCACCCCACTCCTGCTTGGGCCCTCTGCTTGGCAGTGGAGACGCTGGCAAAGATGCCCTGAAACTCCCGCCGGGCTGAATCAAACTAAGCCGCAAACCTGTTTGAGCCACCAAACATGGCACAAAATGGGAAAACCGAAGGTCTGTTTGCAAGGGCGGCAAATAGGCAAGTCAATGGAAAGTCTTCCAAAGCCTTCCTGTCAGCTTCCACGGTTGGGGGGGTGTAACCTTTTGGAACCTCGAAGTACGCCCTTGAAAAGCAAGTCTAGGCCAGGCCCGAAAGGCACCGCCGAGGTTGTTATGCGCGTCTCTGCTTTGGGGGCCCCGATTTTGGGGGTGGAATCCAAGGAACATCGAAGGAAATCATGCCCCTGTTCTGCTGAAACACACCAACTTGCAGATGCGTCAAGAAAAAGCCCGGTCCCATCTGACAGCTGAGGGAAGGCACGGAGGAACCAAAGCTGCCGGCTGAAAATCCAAAACACGTCTGCATTTCGGCGCGTCAAGAGATCAAAACCAAAGCGGCAATCCAAACTGCAGCCCCTGCCTTGACATCTTGGCTGGCCATGGGACCTTGTGCCAGGTCTCTTTGGCCAGTACAACTGAGCGCTTCCAAGAAAGACACCGCCCACATTGTTGCAAGCGCAACATGTCACATTGCGCATCCGCATCAACTCCGGCCTTCGGATATCACTTATCCGTGCAAGCCATCCCGCATCATCGGCCCAGCCCACAGCTGTCTGACTCTCAAGTCACTGGTGCTAAGCGCCTACATGTCATATCTTTGCCTGATTGATCGCAAGGCGTGGCTCCACTCCTGTGTTGCACTGAACAACCATCTGCAACCGTAAGCCCAAAATCTTGCATTGCTCTGTGCACTTTGTGGCTGGTCTTACGCTTTGATAAGCTCAAGATGCTTGGACTGTTCCCTTGTCCTTGTCCTACTCTGCAAGCTTGCGCAAGGTAAAAGCGGCGTATGATGGGTTGTACCCGCGGCACGCAAAGGACCCCCCCCTTTCAGGGAAACCAAACCGGGGTGCATTTGTCTAACCTTCCCCGCTTCTTCCATGGCCAAAATACTCACCATGGTGGCCGCTGCCTGCCTAAAACTATTGGAAGTAGACCAACATGCCATGGCGGCTTCCAGGCTGGTTCCATTTGAGAATCGAATATAATAGGTTGGAAATCAAAGCTCACCATTGCACCCAGAAGATTTCAACCCCCCCCCCCTCCGTCAAAGGACCTTTGGCCTTGTGCTGCCTTGTAAAAGGGATACCAAAAAGGACCCGTGATGTTGACAACCTTCCATCTGAGTCGGAGGCAACTGCCGGTGTTCCATCACAAAAAACTTTGAGAAGTACGCACCCACCCACCCATCTGGAAATAACATTGGGACGTGCCCCAAATTGAGGGCCTGGTCGAAACGAAAGGCAACCAACCGAAAGCCAAAAGCGCGAATCCCGTCACGTCTTTTTGCCATCGCCCCCGAAGCACAGCAGCCGCTGCCGGGCCTGAGTCACGTGAGTCGAGCTGTGCTTTCGCGTTGGTACCATCTGTAGGGTGGTCTAAAGGGAATCAAAAGGAAAAACCACCGTAGTTGGGCTCCCTGGTTTTACGCATATATACCCATTTAAACGCTAACCTGGCGCATTGCCAATTAAAGTAAGAACCCCAGTTGATTCTAAAGCCCTGGAAAATGTTGGTTGCAAGGTTCCGACCCACATGCGGGATTTGGCCAGTGTGACAATACTTTCATCGTCGCCGACTGCACGACTTCGTGAAACGAGAAACCTCCATGGGTTGGAAAGGAAATCGGCGGAACAAAGCATTTGGTCATGGAGGGCACTCCAACGCAAAGCGTTGGAGAGCAAGAAGCCTCATGAAGCAAAGCCTTCTGCCAAAAAGATCACAAGGTCCCCCCCCGTTCGGAGCCCTCGTTTTGCCGCCCAAAGGGGCGGCACAAGAGCCTACAGAAACCGAGCTGGTCGACTTCCGCTCAGTTCGGCGAAGAAAACCTCCAGCACTCAGCTGGCCACCGCAAGGAGGGTTGGCCTTTGCGTCAGGATGTCCTGGGCGGCAGTGAAGAGGGGAGGGAAAGACTGGATTCTTTTTTTGTTTTCAGAACTCGATGCTAGTTGTTCGCTTCAATCAGTCCTTGGCCCCATCTAAACAAGGAAGTTTGATCATGCGCGGATTGAAAAATATTGCCGTTTGAGGGGAATCTCTCTTATTGTCCCAGCTTGGGGACTGACAGACCCGAATCCCAATGCCTGGCCAATGAGGGCCAGCGGCTCGTCCACGTTGAAGATCCTGAGGGATGGCCAAGGCTGCCGAAATGGGATTGTCACCCCTCACGGTTTTCCTGTTTGCTTCCCTTACCCGGGCCGAAAAAGACACAACATGTCCCCTTCAAACATCCAGGTTTAGAACCACATCCACAGATCCCTTTTGGACCAGAAACCCAAAAAATCCAACAGTCCAAACTCAAAATCGAGCCAAAAGGACCAAAAAGCGGTGTGGGCGCGTCTCCAATCAGGGGAACCTGATTTGAAATTCGAAGGAGTCTCCTGTTGGTTTCCCTCGAAAAACCAACCAAAAACAGTTGGGGCTCGTAAGATAAAAGACACGTCATGCAGTGCCAGTTGTTTTTTGCCCGACACAAGCCAAGCCCACCTGGGTTACTCCAAGGAGCCAAGCCCCTCAAAAGCGCTTCCCTTATGCCAACCTAGCAGCTCTTCCTGTTGATTTCCCTTTTAACAGCCTCCTTGACAGCAAAAAACAGCCTCCGACTTCTCGCTCAATCTGGCCGGATGTTTCCCATGGCCCCAAGGTTCCAAGGCCCCGGGCGTCTTGAAACTCGCCACATCTCCGATGGCGACCTACGCTGATGGCTGTGGGTGTGTGAACCTTAGGGGGTCCCGACATGTACATCCTGAAGGGGATTCCTGTCCAACCACTTGCGAGTTGGGCATGGGACTTGGGAAGGGAATCTCCTTCATGGCCACTCAAAAGTGTCCCACTCGGAGATACAGCTGAGAACATAGGCAGCCTTTTGCTTCTTTCAAAGTATTGCTTACAACAGTGAAGATGTAGTATTGGAAAAATAGAATAGGAAGATTAAATGTTGAAACATCCTTATGTAAATGAAGCCTGTGTATTGTTAGCAAGATGTTGCGGCCGGGAAAAGATGCCCGAGACGGGGCCCCACCCTCGCACCCTCGCACCCTCGGCACCCTCGGCATTCGGCGCCTCCACCGGCTTCGGTGCCCAGCACCCCGGCGGCTTCCGCCCGGCGCCGCGGAGCTGACGGGGCGAAGTGGGAAGCCGAAGCCGAGGCCCCGAGGCCCCGAGGCGAGTTTAGTCCACTGATGTTTGTCGTTGTTTGTTCACCTCATGCACTAGCTGAACTAGGGATGATGTGCTGAACTTGGCTGGGGCTTTCCAATTGGTTTCTCTGTCCAATCGTGCTGTTCTCTTTCCAAACAAAGGTATGTCTCGAAATCAGAGAGGCCCTTGCCTCGACTGCAAGAGGGGGCTACCCATTTGGGCGTCAAGGACTTTGCCAATTCCCGGGCCAAACGAGAAAATGCTTCCACAGCTGACGTGGGTCATGGAGATCATTTAGCCCGAAAATACCGACGGCAAAGACTTGCTGGTGCGATAGGCAGGGAATTAGAAATTGTAAATACAAATTGCGGTTTGGGGTAGAACTTGAAGACGACGGGAATCAGACCTCCCCAACAATGTACAGAAAGTAGGGGGGGTGGAGACCAGTAACAAAACTCAGTGTAGGTGAGCAAGTGACCGGATCGGGTTGTGGTTGAAATAGGATATTGTATCTTGAGCCAAAACACGATTGGCGTTGGCTGTGAAGTTAAAGCGACCTACCCCAAAACACATCAAGAAACTCCCCATGTCCGCCACAGAACAATCGTAGACTAACGCTGCTCCTGCGAAACCTGACAGCCGCGTGATCTTTCCGCGTCCCAGGTGTTTTGTCAGAGGTTGCAGCTGCGCTTTTGTGAGACCAATTGAGCCTCCAACAACTTCACTTGATCCCCCAAATGGGCACAGGACAATCAAGTGGCACAATGGTGCCATCGAATACCAACGTGTTTGTCCGTTGTTCAAGCGGGTGTTTCCACGAGTAGACCGTCTCCTATTCAATTGGTTGCTCCTCCTTTGGCTTGCCTTGGTTCACACCATCCATCAGGGGGGTCTCCATGAGGAAATCCATTTTCCAATCAGAGTTGAAACTCCCAAATCGGTCTGATTTTTACTCGTTTTTTTGTTTTATTATTATTTATCAGGGGACCCTATCATTGCCATCCAAGAAACCGGCTACAGCAAACCGGCAGGAAATTGTGCCAGAAACGCTTGAAACCCTTGTTAGTGGGTATGTGGCCAAATTGTAGAAATGGGTTCTATCAAGGGTGTCCCCCTTGAAATCCAGCCGAATAGAGCTGCCAGGCACTCCCTCACAGCCAACGGGTTGGCCTGCAAAGCAGCGTGCGCCAGGGGCATCAACAGCGGATTCCCGCTGCTGTCGATGGAGGATACGCCTACTACCGGGAAGCAGCGGCTGGATTTACCCTGTTTCACAAGCCCAGGATCCTCAAAGGATGCCAGTTTAGGGATGCTTATGGGGACCCACAAGGACACCAAACGGAACTTGAAACACGAAAGAAACAAACCCATTTGGGCTGGGCCAAAAGGAGACCCCACTCTGAGTTGTCCAGCGGTTTTCCGAGGGAGAAGACAGACTTGCCCCAGTTCTGCACATGCAAGCATGAGCACAAGCAGCACAAGCAAGCGAGCGAGCAGGCAGGCAGGCAGGCAAGCAAGCTGCCAAGCAAGCAAAGCAAGCAAAGCAAGCAAAGCAAGCAAAGCAAGCAAAGAAAGCAAAGCAAGCAAAGCAAGCAAAGAAAGCAAAGAAAGCAAAGCAAGCAAAGCAAGCAAAACAAGCAAAGCAAGCAAAAAGCCAGTGCACCAAAAACAAACAAATAAAACACAAACACAAGCACAAGAGCAAAAAACAAAAACAAGAACGCGTTCTCCAGCAAGAAGGCCTCGCGCCAGTTGGGATGTGTTAGCCTACAGAAGGGGAACTCCCCAAGCAAAAATCGGGCTTATGCGGCCTTTGTCTTTGGGGTTTCCGGAAATCCGGAGAGCCGGGACTGGAAAGCTGAGTGCACGCTGGCCAGGCTCCGAACTGACCTACCAGAGGCAAAGACAATACTTTGAGTACTTCGACCTTGGGTTCACGCTGGAAGCTTCTGGAAAATGACGAAAGTGTTTAACCACTCATAAGCCAGAGCCGCCAGTATTGCAGGGAACAAGATCCAGCCCTCTCCTGGGTTCAGAAGCATCTCACCCGGCCTCCCCGCTGCAGCATCTTGTCTTTGTCTTCCTGAGGCGAAACTCCTTCACCTCTCACCGGCCGCAAGACACTCGGTTTTTGTTGGCTGCATGTTTTCTTATCTTGGCCGTGAGGCCCCACCGAGAACCAACTCGGCTCCAAGACGACTCCAGCAAATGTTTCGTTGGTTGCTGTCGGATGTTGTTTTCGGGCAATGTGCCTCCGCCTCGCGCGGCTTACTCTTTCGCCATTTCAGCCTCCCGCCTTCACGATGCCCAGTAGAACGTGGGCGGCGCGCCAATTCAGCACCTGCGGCCAGTGAGCCCGGGCAGAATATGAACCTTTTTGGGGCAAGGATGTGGGAAACGTTGTAAACGAAAGGAAAAGAACGGTGCTCCCACAGTTGTTCAAGGTCTACCTCCAGTTTGTTTGGATATTTCTTGCCGAGTTGGAGGCGTCTTGCCGAGTTGGAGTCTTGGATGTGCACCTACTCCTTAAATCAACTGAGCCCGAGATCAGTCGGCGGCTCAAATGTGACCCTGTGCAAATCCACCAAAAGCTTGGTGGAAATGCAAAGACCAAGCAACCGTGGTGCCATGTTCCACCGTGCAAATGGCATACCAATTCAAAAAGGGACCCTCAAAGGGCCTTTCGGAAAACAAAAGCAAACTCTGAAAATTGTGCGACCTTTGCTTTGGACAGCCGCTTTGAACGGCTCGTCCCGCTTTGCCCGCCCCCAAGTCTCCGCAACCCCCAAAGGCCACTCAGCTCCCTGCAGTGAAGGAGGCTCCGGTGTCGATCACGCCCTTCACACCTGACGAAAAGCGGGCTCAACATGAGTCCGAACATCAGCCAAATGAATCCAAAGATAGGAGCCAAGGCGAGGTTAACATATCAAGTGGAGCCAAGGTGAGTCCAAAATCAGCCAAAGCAAGCTCGAAATCAGCCACCTTTCACACATCGAGCGGAAAGAGTTGATTGCCAAAAGCCAAGCGAGCAGTCATACATTTGGGGAAGGTGCACACTTTGGCAATTGGGGTGGCTCCTGACTCCCAGGGCTGTCCTTCTTAAAGTGCCTTTGCTTGGAAAAGAATGGACTTCCTTCCTGAGATTCGTTCATGGCCTCAAAAAAACGAGTATGTGCCCACCGCATGGGGCGTGGGCTTCCTGGCCTCAAGGAGTCCGATTGAAGTGTTCCGATGGGCAAAACTCCCGGGCGCCAGATGGCATTGGCGGTTTGTTGCTGGACAAGGATTCATGCAAACCCAACTGTTTGGCTTGGTCATCCCCGTTACCCACGTGAATGAAAGGAATTCTGCCATCTGCTGTCAAAACTGGAAGTATACTGGGCATCTGGGGGTGCACAGACAGTAATATGTTCAGATTCCGCTTCATATTCAGTCAGCCCTCAAAACGGGCACACGTGCATATTCCGACCGCCTGGTGCCCAACCCGAACCCGAACCACCCGGGCCATGGGGCCCCGGGCGTACATCTGACAGCGGCACCGAGAGGTACAGCCCCAGCAGCCGCGCGGGCAGAGGAGCTGCGCGACGGTGATCATACATCCGTGGCTTGTCTTTTTTGGGGAAGGATGCCCCTTTCGGAGTGTGTTCAAAGGGAAAAAGGGAACCGGCCATTTTGAAAAGGGGGTCTATGACAGGCCTCTAGGATCCTGATTCATCAGCCTGGCAGATTCACAGGGGGTGTATCCTCCACAAGTGAAGGGTTCCCCAAAATGAAACACACTCCGTACAGGTCAATCAGGGGCAGTAATCCTGGGTCAACAGTAGTTTTGGCAACGCCCCATCAAGTTGTGGAGTGTCATGAGATCATCCACTTGTGCTTTTTTGAGCACTAGCTACAGGACGTGTCGGAAAGGAACACACATGTTTTTGAGACCTGCGCCTGGTTTCCTTTCAGTTCCTCTGCCCTGCAACTCGTTTGGACATCACGTACAAATCAAAACACGAATTTGGAAACAGGTGTGGATACTTGTTGCGACTTCACCCTTTGAGGACAGGATCCACAGGTCGGGCTTCCCCTGTTTTCCTTTCTCCCACGAAAATGGGAAGGCTTCTGGGCAAAAGACATCATGCGTTGCTAGTGCAGCTCTGCTTGTCATGGGACCCCAAATGCCTTTCCACAAGCGCAGCAGCCGGGATCAAAAGGAATGTCGCGGCAAAATCGGATGCAAAATCGGCCCAAAAGAGGTCGAGGTTGACCCTAGTGGACATTCCATCCAAAAACAGCAAGACAAACGAACCACCCACATGAATCCAAACTGAAAGCATGAGATCCCCACCGAACGGGACCCGCACCAGTGGTCAAGCACACCATCTTCGCCAGCGCAGCCACGCGCTCCCCGCAGTCCGCCTGCCGGAGCCGGCCTTGACTGGCACCCAGGTGCCTTGTGGGCTTAAGGCGAACATGTTGAGGGGTTCTCAACAGAATTGTCTGAGGTCTTACTAAAATGGTCTCAGTTCGAACGCCGAAAAGCTACGACGCTTACTTCCGGAAAAGATAATAAAACAATATTTATTTAAAAAAAACGTCGCTGGTTGAAGGGTGCCTGAACCTCTCAGTCTCCAAAGCGGTCCCTTTGGCTCGGCCCCCGGAAGAGCCCAGCTCGTCACATGTAATCCGCGTCAAAAAAAAACACAAATGGTTTCCAACCAGGCTTCTGTGGAAAATGAACAAGAGTGGAGTACATTCCTACACAAGCTTGGACATGCCGTCAAGCAATTCTACGCAAGAAGCGGTTCTGGTCACTCATGTTCAGCAAGGCTTTCAGTACAAGGGTGCTGTCATACATACACACTCATACATCCAGTCATGCAAGCAAACGTACAGCAAGTCTGCATGTCGTGCGTAAATAGAATGCTAGACATACAGAATGCGCATCACGGTATGGACAAATGGATATGGTCAGGATTTTCACGCATCCCCACAGCCGGCGCACACCTGATTCCCCGACAAGCGTCTGGTTCTCACCTTACCGAGAGACGCAGAGCCTCGTAGAGATGCAGCTCAGGCCCCAGTCCGACCTGGAGGCACCACCACGTATTGCACCAACTTCGACTGGAAATATCTGGAAAGGCTGGGAGCAACAAAAATTAGGGGATAGTTTCTCAAGAGAAATTGAATGGTAAATGCAGATCGAGTTCTTCTCGAAATGAGGGACCTTTACGACTGGTAGATTCTCTTGGTTTCCCTTTCAAAACATCCAAAAAGTCACTTCAGAACAGGGTTGGTTGGGACAGGCTTTTATTGACTTTGATTAAAAAACCCAGGGTTGATTCAGAAATGAAGGGAGAGGGTCGCACATTGAGTGGATTCTATGAACATGTCAAAGCACACTTCCGACGAGTTAACAAGTCTGATCTAAAAGCGAACCTCCCATGCACGGGCACCTTCGAACCCAGGCAATCAGATGTTGCTGCTCTGATGCACTAGGCATGCGAGGCACGAGAGGCAACCGAGCCTGCTGCCGCGAATCGATCAAAGAACTCCATACCTCTGCCGAATTGCCCCTCAACAGACTTTGTGGCAACATGCGGGTGCATCAAATCTCGGGACCAATTCTGGGGATGGGTATCAAGATGAAACCCTCTTGACTCGCTGTCACCCAAAGAGCCCTCCACATGGCAACGTGACAGGACCGAATACGATGAGGTTGGCACCCAGCATTCCGTCGATGGGGTGCCCCAGAGAGGCCCCGATCCTGGGAACCGGCCAGGTCGGCTTGCTCGCTAAATATGCGATCCTTCGAAGCACACACTAGAGATTGATAGGAATCCTCAGCGTATCTCAGTCGCCAATGCACAAAACTTTCCTCCCCAAATTTGTATGAGTTGCCACTTGGAAACGCGCAAGCTCGTCCATCAGTTTGCTTCTGGAATGCGCGTCCACACTCGCAGGTTCCTAAGGTTAGCCACAATCAGTCACCCTTCAGACCCCCCCAAAAAGAGAAAAGAAACAAAACAAGAGGTTCAGTTGCCTTTGAAGGATCCGGTCAAACCAATCTGTTCAAAAAATGCCACACCGCCCCGCAGCCTCCGCCACACAAACTGAGCTTTTGGCACGCTCTGTGGGAAGTCCATCACCATAGGCCTGGCTCGAGCTGTTGCCGAACTGCTGAAGCAAGCGGCTTGCGCGCCGGGGACAGCACAAAATGAACCGTAGGGGACAAGACTGGATTTCCCCAATGAACTGGGCATTCTCACCGCGTCAGCGGCAGGTGGGCTTCGGGGGACGGCTGGCCTTGTCCTGCGATTCGAGGGAAGCAAAGGGTACCAGTAGCCACGAATGACCCAGTCACTCGCGGCTCCAGGCACAAAAGGACACCCTCCTTTTGTTGGCTGTTTGTGTTAAAGGAAACCTGAAACCCTCCGAGAAAGGCGCCCGTCAACTGGGACTCGTGAAAGGCCCCGCTCGCACCTCAAAGGCCCGATTTGGACGGAGCCGAGGAGAACGTCATCCAGGACCGCCTGACGAGCGAAATCACTGCGTGCTGCCCGAGCTTGCTGGTTCTCAGAAGGATTTTGGGAATGGGCCTAAGGATCCCCAAACAAACCAGGTTGGAGCCCCTGTGGGCATTCACTGCTGAGAACCCCAGCAGGTAAGATGAGACTTCTCGCCAAAGAATCTCAAACAAACGTAGTGTGGCCAAATCTCAGAGTCTCCAACGAAACAATGGGCGGGAACTGCAGCGGTATGAGTTTAAAAACATGTTACAGCGCCTTTGGGTTTCACAGGCCCTTTGTCTAAACCCATCTCCCGCCTGACGGCCACTTCCGGACCTGCCGCCGCTTTGTGAGAGATCGAGGCCGTGCCGGGATAGGGGGCTTTCACAGCGGGCAACCTTGTTGGCTTGAGCTACCGGTTGATCGTTTCCCGAAGAGTTGGCAAATGTGACGCCTGAGAGCCTCAGAGAAATACTCGCCGACACAGCTCCCAAAATGCGAAACAAACAGCCAAGGCTATGCGAAGCATAAAACGGCTCGGCAAAGTGCCCCAGACCTCTCGGCCAGTCCAAGTTCTTCTGCTTTGCTGGGTAAAAGCATCGACCTGACATTCAGAGCGATGTGTGTGTGTGTGTGTCTGCATTGAAACGGTCTTGTTGCCCACATGTGGGCCCCTGCGACTCGGCCAAAATTCCAATCCGAACCTTGTGACGGCAATGGATGCCATCGCTCGTTCCTTTGCTGAATCGGCCAAACGGGCGTTGGGCGCTGGCTTGAGCTCGCTAAGCACGGCGCGTCGTCAGCCCCGAGTCCAGCATAAATTTCAATCTGACCTGACAGATACTGACAAAATGGCCACAGAGCATACATTTGACAACCCCGCCAACGTGTCAAAGCAAGTTGGATCCTTGATTGGAGCCCCTTCTACTGAAAGCAACCGGGTAGAGAGGTCCGGATTTGTTGACACAAATCCAGACTCAGTCCTCAAAGCACCAGCGCCCCGTCAAAGCCGACTCAGGCAGAAATCCATGAGACATCGCCTCATCGCCTGCAACCAGATCGACCAGGTCGTAGCCTTTGCCGACATAGTCCTAGCCATCTCCGATTCGAGCACCCAAACGAAAAGCAACATGGCAAGCGACGGCCAAGGCGTGGCCCAACAACACGCAGTTTGGAGAAAGGAAGCCCATGTACAGTTCTGAAATTCATGTGGTTCTGCTTGAATCCATCTCGAAACATGATATTCACCGTCCTTTTCGACACGCAGGGAGATACTAAGCATTGCTGCCTCGCTTGAAAGACCCATCTGGGTAAGCGCGGCAGCGATTTAAAAAGAGCATCTCACTTCTTTGTTCCTGAAGCCAGCTGGAAAAGGAAGCCGATACAGCTCTCAATTTCAGATCGGACCCCCTGGACACTTGTCCTGGCCGATTTCAGCTGATAACAACTGGCGTCAAAGCATAAGCAAAGAGCCACAGCAAAGTACGTCCGTCATGGAAATGACTCTCGATTTCTCGTGACATTGAGTTCATGATCAAAGACTACGGCATCGCCATGACATCGGCCTCCAACCCTCGTAAACACTGACCTGTAGCTGCAGTCTACTATGACAGCTTCTGTTCAATCACATACCGCTTGGAAATGGGTATCTCGTGAATGCAGGCAGCCATAGGTAGCAAGCTGGTGGCTGTGGGAGAGCGGGGGGTAGAAGGGTGGCTCGAGCTAACCTGAACGAAACTCAGAAGCCAAATGCTAGCTGAGTGTTTCGTCTTGAGCAGTCTCTGAACTAAGCATATGTACATCGACAGCAAGCAACGGCTTAGTGCCTCGACAAGGAAGGCGCATCCTGCGCTGGAGCCATGCCAGATCCCATGTTTATACAAACATACATGTGCATACATACATATATGGTACAGCGTTGCCAGCCCCCCCCCCCCTCCCCCCCCAATGGTCATGGGTCAGCCAAGTACCCCCCCCCTGTGGTTGTGGTCCTGTGGTTGGGTTGTGGTGGTTTAGGGTTGGTTTAGAATTGGTTTAGGGTATATTTAGGGTGTATTTAGGGTTGGTTCAGGGTTGATTTAGGGTTGATTTAGGTTGATTTATGTTGATTTAGGGATTGTTTAGGGTTGGTTTAGGTTTAGAGGTGTACGGTTTAGGGTTTGGTTTAGGGTGTATTTAGGGTTGGTTTAGGGTTGGTTTAGGTTTAGGGTTTATTGTTTAGGGATTGGTTTAGGGTGTATTTGGGGTTAGTTTAGGGTTGGTTTAGGGTTAGTTTAGGGTTGGTTTATGTTGATTTAGGGTTGGTTTAGGTTTAGAGGTCTACGGTTTAGGGTTTGGTTTAGGGTGTATTTAGGGTTGGTTTAGGGATAGTTTAGGGTTGGTTTATGGTTAGTTGCGGGTTGGCTTGTCCTGGGGGTGGGGGTGCCGGGGTTTCTGGGTGCGAGTTCAGGGGTTTGGGTGGGGGTGGGACCGTAGGTGCCAGGATCAGGGGGTCTCGGGCCCGGGGGGGGGGGGGGCTCTTGGGGGACCATACCCTTTGGGGGGGGGGGGGGGGGTAGCAACACGGAACACGGGACCCTGTATATATATATATATATATGTGGGTGTTTTTGGAAATAGGGGCACCCGAAAGTACTTGCGCTGTTTTGGATTCCCTTTGAATACCAACCAAAGGGGTCCGCAATTTTGAGAGACGGCCAAACATGTGCTTGCAATCATACCTAAACGCGGACGTAGATATATACATATTAGACATACTATGTTTGCGTGTCAATGTGTGTCAAAAAGTATTCAAAAGGGATACACCCAAGACTCAGCCCCACATCAACAAAGAAAGAATGATGAATGCAAGTGAGCGTTCCAGAAACAGCAGGTGTTGGCTCCTGTTTGAAGCCTCTGTTGCGTGCTAGCCCATTCGGATTGAATGGCGCGGCTCCACGCAACATGATTCAGCCGTCGAGCATGCCATGCCGCAAAACTGGCGGCTACGATCACAGCTTCAACAGACCCTGCATCACAAACCCGATGGCATCCAAAGATGCAAAAGTTGGGGGAAGTAGATGGCACCAGCTCCTTACAGGCATAAATGTCCTTTGGATAAAATAGATGGCCTGGCAAATGGCATGAAATCAATCTAAACCACTGCACAGGCTTTTCCATTGCCCTTACAAATAGCGCCATCTTCACCCTCCCCAAGCGCTGCCGCCTGCAGCGCCGCAGTGAGTAGAAGCAAACGCCTGGCGGGCGGCGCCGGCGTTTCGTGGGGTTTGGGAAAATTGGTTCGCTAAGCGCGCTGAGTGTCAAAATAGGGATGACCCCCCAGAATGGCGCTTTAAATCGACCCCACAATAGGCATTCCCGAACGCGCCGGATCCTTTTGCTACGAACTTTTGCGCTACCTTCACCGTTGGGACGGGGCCAGCTGAAAACGCGCTGTATAGCGCAACTGCGACTGAATTATCAAGCTGTCGCCGCAAAAACCCTTGGATTGCTCCCATCTGCCTCTTCCGACAGGCACAGCGCTGAGGCATGCTTCACATGGCGAGGAGACCATCGACGCGTCGGCGCCCTAGGGGAGTCTCATTCTTTCTGCAAGCAGTCTGCAACCGCCTGATGGCCGAACATGATGGGCAAACGCAGGGCCGTCCTTCCGTCATTGACCAGGTCCTTGTCAGCACCAGCTTACAGCAAACACAGCACAACTTCCTTGTTGCCATGTCGAGCGGCCCAATGCAGCCCTGTTGAACCACCATGTTTGTGATCCGGGTTCACGGGCGCTTCCAGAAGCCTCACAACTCCGTCAAGATCGCCAATGCCTGCTACCCTCAGCAACACATTTGCTCCGAATTGGCTGCTGGTATATGGCCGAGTCACCACCTCCACGCTGGCCCGAGCTTCTGACCACCAGACACTAGCGCCAGCTGCCTGAAATTCTTGATCTGCATCCTCCTCGCCAGCTCTCGCCGGAGCACATCCAAAAAGATGCCACCTTGTGGGTGGTGTTCCTCCCGCCACGAAGCAAACTCGTCTTCCTGCATCACATCCTCACCACTCAATCTGCGAACACGACCCATGAAAAAACAGAACACAACTGCGATCACTTGGGACCAAACTTGAGCCAACATGCCTCTCTCACCAATGGACGCAGGTTGCAAGTAGTTCAAAGGCGGCGCAAACGCCAGGATGAGGTGACAACTCAAAAGGGGAAGGCAATCTATTTAGAAAAGCAAAGCTGCAAAGTCCGATTCATAGAACGCTGCTGAACTTCCAAAGCAGCTGTCGAACAGCGATCGCAAGCGGCATTTAACCCAGTGGCGACACCAACACCCAGCCAAAAACACCAACTGCCAAAGCCACTCATTTGACCGACAAAGCTTGATGCAAGCCATTCATCCAACAAAATAGCACAGGGTAGCCAAAAAGCAGCGCTTCGCCTCATCAATGCTTTAGGAATCATTTTTCAGGAACGATCAGACTTATGCTTCGTCGCTTCCTTCCTTAGGAGTCTTTCGTGTCAAAGCCTGAAGGGTTGTACGCTGCGCACGTGGGACACAAAATCCGGGGCCCGCTGTCAAACCCTGATCCAGACTTGGTCTTGGTTCTTAGGCCAGCGGCTGAGGGCTGGAGTCTGAGGAGGAGAAGCTGTTGGGAGCAGGCAACTAACGGCCTCTTCTCCCTGCAAACCCGCGCACTCCTGTTCAAAATCGTTCCAAAAGGTCCATTGTGTTCAAAAGCACGGCCTCCCGAAACCAACAGTGGACCAAGAATGTGCCTTGCATACCCAACCCACCGGCGCCTGCTCTTGGCGTCCAGCGCGGCCTGGAGGTGTGCGGCTTCCTGGCCGTATAGATCCGGACGCTGGCAAACCCAGGTGGCTCAACCCAGGCCTTGGTCGCGACGGTGTCCTTGGACGTCAACCTGGGACTTTAGGTGCCCGCTTTGGACATAGCTCCATTCCCTCCTTACCCGCTCTCCCCCTCTCGTTGCAAGGAGGAATCAAGGGAAGTCCGCACCAGATTGAGAGACTGGGGAGGTAATAGCTGCTATCCCGCAAGATCAGCATGTCCAACTAGTGGCATCTGCAGCTTGTGCTTTTTGATGGAGCTATCATGGCAGGATGACTTTCGGATTTCGGCACGCTCTATTTGCTACAGGCACCACAGTGGCAAGGGAACCAGCATGAAACCAGCCTGAAGCCTACCCCTCTTGGTTCATGAAAGGGAGAAACCCAACATGCAACCAGCCAGTCGCAAGAGTTACCAGTTGTGCCATTTGGAGGGGGGTTCAAGTGGTTTCAACACATGTCCAGGAACATCCAAAGAAAGTACCGGAACCGTCTTGGAAGGTCTTGGCTGGACCTGCGGTTAAGAATTTTGACAGTGCTGTTGCAGGGAAGTGCTCAGCGTGCTGTTGCACGGAGAGGATGCCGGTCCAAGGGTAATGGACCTAGGTGTCACTGGAATCATTTGGCTGGATGTGTTTCCGGGTGCAGGGTGTTGCTAGTGAGTGACACTGAGGGTGCTTTCAGCAGTGCAGTGTAGGGCGCGATGGAATAGGGTGTTGCAGAGCAGATTGCTGGCGCAGCAGGAAACTGAGCGCTCCAGCTGTTTTCCGGGGCTTCTGCAATTCTGCGGATTCTG